TTTCCTCCTCGATGGTATCTCTACCTTAACGAAGGCATTTGCCGGGTGAGGAGGTTTGCGTACTCTAATGAACCTGAGAGCTATGCCGGCGGTAACATATGTGTTTTCGAGTGAAGTAAGTTTGATCGCTCTGAGACTAATTAATGAATAAAATTCATAAAATTGTCTTGAATTCTAGGGCTTGGATTATTAGATTAATCAATGCAAAATATTTCGAATAAGCCTTTGATTGATTAATTAGAGCAAAAAATCTTGTGTTTTGAAGCCAAAATAGCGGGATGTATTTTATATTATTAATATTATTGATGTATTATATCTATATTAATCAAATTCACACGAAACCCATTTTCGGTCGAACATATGTTTATGGCAAATCTGGTTTAATAGCTCTCAAAGCGATCAAACTTACTTCACTCAAAAACGTTATTAGTTACCGGTAGGGTCACCCATGCCGGACAGGTCGAAGGGGAAGAGTCAGACTAAGAGAGATACTGTAGTTATATTTTTTATATTAATATTTTTAAATAAAATGAAAGTGAAAAAGACAATAATAGAGAAGAGGGGAGTTTTAGTCGTTTTTGAAATTAATGTCGTATAAATACATATCTAAATGTCCTGAGAAAAGTATTATCTTCGCATTTCCGGCCCTTTAATTAAAATTCTGAATGGAATTCCACAAGATAGAAAAAAGACTCTTAACATTTTATACGCTAAAGAAACAATATTGCACAAGATATCGCGATTTTTTGATATTTTATGACATTTTGCAAAAATCTGGTAGTTTATAGTATCACCGGCGATCCGCAACAAAACTATATTCATTATTTCGCTGATAAGTATTGTCAGTACTTAATAGGTTAATATGCAGTAATATGCGTCTTTTAATATGTACACATACCTTCAAAAACTCGCATCTGAGTTAGTAGGAGAATATATTTTGCGAAGAGCTCGCGCGGTAATGCTGTTCACAAGCGATAATGTGTCTCAAAGCGCTCGAAAATTCGTTTCTGAATTACCAGGAGTTATCAGGAGAATATATTTCGCGAAGAGGTATGCGCTATTCGGCTCAAGAGATGGTGAAGACTTGATTCGTGAGAGGGCGTGACCAACGGCTAAATATACGTAAGATACGCCGCGCTTATTGGGATCGCGCGGCCATTAAAAAAGGGGTGTATTCTATTGACCCACGATCCAACCAATCAGCGCGGAGTACTTTACCATCTATTTGCCATCGGTCACGCCTTCCCAGAGATCCAGTCCTCACCATCTCTTGCGCCAAGTAGCGCATACCTCTTCACGAAATATATTCTCCTGTTAATTCAGAAACGAATTTTCGAGCGCTTTAAGGCACATTACCGCTCGTGAACGATATTACCGCGCGACCTCTTTGCATAATATATTCTCCTAATAAATCAGAAATAAATTTTCAAACGTATTAAGACACATACTGTTTCGAACTGCATTATTTGCTTCTTTGCGAAATATCCACATCTATTTTGTCTTTCTCGGTGAAAAGTAGAATGCCCTCACGTGGCGGATGAATGCGGAAGGAAGTGAAAGAGTTCCCATCATGTAACATCCTAACGCTCGGTCACGTGGCTATAACATGTGTTCTCACTCGTCCTGTTGCTCGTTACGTAAATGACGCGGTTCGAAAGCACGCTATTTGTGCAATCGCTGATACATAACGATTGTCTTATGCAATAATTAATTAAGGATTTATCGTTGCATAACCAATGTCGGTGTCCTTGTATATTTCGTTTAATTAACATCGAGAAATAAATGCGACAGGTATGGGATTGGACACGTCTTTTGTTATGTAAAATTAACGATGGCGTCGACGGAAATACCAACGGTCATACCAAGCTTCGCTTCATATTTCGATTGACATAAAAATGTCTTAAATATTGTTTGCTTTTAATAATGAAAAGATAAAAACGGTGGAAAGGCAACGATGTTCGACAATAATGCATAAACATAATGCGCAAAAATTAGAAACGGAAAAAACGTAAAATTAATAAAAGGATACTTAATAAAATCAAATTTACGCTTTCCGTGCTATGAAAGTATTGCTATTTAAAATAATTTCCTATAATTTATTTTGCATATTTTTTCTGAGACATTGAGCGGTACAGATGTTGTCAAGGCTGTCCCGAATGCTTACTACTAATGTACGATTTCCATGTACGAGAAATATATGTAATTTAGCTATGTAGCACGTGTTAAATGAAGGCAAGTGACATTTCCTATGTTTTGTGCAAGCAGCGGATATCCGTATCCAATTTGTTCCTCTATTCCTATTGTGTATTATTAGAGTGCTTAGCGCTCTAAAGTAAATATAGAAAATTTGTTATATTTGCGAGGCAGTAGTTTTGTAGAAAATAACTTGCATTTGAATTTATAAACGATGACATTACCCAGTGAGAAATACAAAAGGAAAAAACATCTCTTAGATATTTAATGTAACGGACATCTCTCTCTCTCTCTCTCTCTCTCTTTCTCTAATAGATGTTTTTTTTCGATCTGTATTTCTTACACATGCTAGGTTTTATGTAGATAATCATCCTGTATAACGTAGACGTATATAGTACATTAAAATGCCATCTTTTTATCGTTCAATTGTGTAGGATCATTGTTGCTTTTGATCATATATTGCATTTACTGTGCTTCCTTTTCTTCACGATTGTAACTGGCATAGCCCGAGGCGATATTTCATTATACACGTGTCATATTGTGTGAATGATACGCACTCCCGCGCACCATTCCGATGGGATCGTTGTTATAAATGCCATGATAGTCTTATACAACTTTCTGTTCCGTAAATTTGATATAATAATGAAATATACAGATACATCTCACTCTGTTATCCGTAGGTTGCTATGCAAGATTCACTCGCGTCATTTAATTCGGTCGAACGAGAATATTTGAATGTATTTGATGCCTAGATTATTGTATTACATAAACTCGTTTATTGATATAAATAAAGTTGCAGTCTCTTGAATGAAAGAAATTATAATAATCTTCCTTTGTCTCTCATTTCGAAAAGTTTAAAGATATTAATTGTTTAACATGAATGTAAAATATATTATCAAACAAGATATGCAATAATATTTTTGCAACTGTCGGATTTGAAAGATTAATATAGTAGTCAATTTATTTTTATAAGGCTAAAAGAATTGATTAAACACAATCTATGTATAATTAAAAAAAAAATGTTATGGTATTTATTTAAAGTTCTTTTTTTTAACTCGATCTACACCGTTACAGATTACAATATAAAAAATAACAGATGAAATGTTTTCTCATAGTATATATTAAAATAAATACATTTTTCTTTTACGCTACATATATTCATATTCGACATAGGATATACTTGTCAAAAATATGACACTTTTCCTGGCAGAAAATCTCAAAAGCATAGAGAAAGTTATATATATTAAAAACTTTGAACTTTGAAAACAGCAACAATAAGGGTAGTAACACGCGATTGGCGAATACCTGAGCCAATAATGAGGGAGGCTGCGTCAAAGTTCGAGCGGTCGAGAGAAACGCGATTCACAATTCACAAGTGCGAAACAGTCGACGCGCACCCTCTGAGATATTCGTGTGTCTTTCGGTCTTCGAAAATTCATGAAATAATTCTGTTCTACAGAGCTTATCATTAATTCATGACGAACTTCTTTAAATTCAATTACAAATCACAGTCAATTTCTAAATTTTTTTGTGGAATCTAATTTTCTTTTCATTTTTTTTTCACGTAAGTAATGTTAATATTTGGTAATAGAAATTGATATAGAGTTATACTTTGAGTTTATTTATTTTTAATTAAAACGCAGTGTGTTAATTATCATTTTTAATTATATGATTGTTTCTCTTTTCTTCTATGTCATTTGATATTTAAATTAAAAATTGTTGTATTACGTAAAATACAAATATATCCATGACAAGATAGTTATTTTGTAATTATGTGAAATATTATTTTAATTTTTATTTTACATATCATAGCCTTTATACGCGTTTACTTATTATAATAAAATTAATAAATTAGATATATCATTTATTGAAAATTGTTCTTATTGAGTTAAATATATCATTCAATTATATGACATCAATATAAATCTTAAAATTTATACTTTTCATCACTCGAAGTATTTCGACGACTGGACGAGCAATTTGTGTTAAACCGGGACTGATTAATGAGTACTTAAACTACTGACGAGGAATCAGCGAAGATACTAGTAAGTCTCACTCAGCGTATTGCTATAAAATTATTATGATAAAACAATTGATAAAATAATATCGCATTATATTGCTTATTGTTATATTAAAAGATTGTGTGTGTGATTTATGTATATATGTAAAAGACATTTCTCTAATTAATTTCGATATTATCGTATCTCTTAATGAAAAATTACAACTTTCTATCGTCATCAAATAAGTTCGAAAGTTAAATAATATAACAATATTAATTAATTATTATTAACGTAATTATTATATATGCAACAATCTAATAATATCGATAATAACTATTTTAATCATGTTTATTTATCTTGAGTAGAAATTTGAGTCAAAGTAAATTACTCGTTTACCATTTCTAAAAGTAATATTATCTACGATGATTCTTTATTAAGTTTAATTACGTTTAATAACGAAATCATGTTTGACATCTGGAGATTAATCATCATGGTCGAGAAGACTTGCGTATCTCTCTTGCGAATAAAGTGGAAGTAATTTAGCTTTGAAAATCCCAGAGCGATTTGTGTATGCGATATCGAGTTCCGAAAATTAGTAATATAGCACTAATGATTCTACATTTGAAATTAAACTTGTTTGATTTGTTTGACTTGTTGACCCGTTAATATATTACATAAATTCATAACTAACTAAGTGAGAGTGTAATGTAGAATTTCTTATTATTAATGGTTATCTTTTTATCCAGCCTCTCGTTATCAATTTTGTACAACTATTGCAGATAACAGAATTACAAACAATATCTGTAATTATAAAGCTCAAACTTTATTGTTTATTAGAATTCTAATTAATTGTATATAATTAAATAAATTTATGGCATGCTTTTATATGTGTATATGTACATATATATATATATATATAATGATATTCATGTGGTATAAAAAGATCAAATTAAAAATAGTTATAGAAAAGCAGGTAAAAAATATTTTTTTTGTTGATGTATTCCAACTAATTGTAAATCCTGATTTAATTAACTGAATTTTATTACAATTTTATTAAATTTTAAAGATGAATACATATTAAATCGTAATACAAAGGTTAAAATATAAACACAATATAAATTAATTAATTATAAAATATTTAATTTAAATATTTATAATATTTTTATATGCTGATTAATGAGCGATTCTTTCTGATACACTCTTGATACGACGTCGCTGACGTCATACAGAATAATAAAATCATGACAGACTTTTGGGACAGCATTCAAATCTTTCAAGCTATTTTATCGCGAAGAATGTGTTAATTCTGGACTTGACCTCTTTCACTTGAAAGCTCAATCAAGGTTGTCCATATTGATATGCTGACACACAGTAACTAGTTTTTATACGTGTTTAATATGCGAATAAATTATTTTATATTTTTAAACTTTGCTTAAAGAAATGTATTGACATTATTTTTTTTAGTATCAAACAAAAATTATTGTAAAAAAAAAATCATACATTTTGGAATAGAGTTTTTTTAAATATTTAGGTTTTTTTGACACATTACAAATAATATATTAATATTAATTATTTATGCATTGAATATAATTAAAGCACTCAAATTCTTTTGTTACAGACGATAAATACATTCTAAAAGAAATGCAAATCACTGCTACAACACAAATAATATAATATATCCTGCGCTTTATTAAAAAAAAAAAACTATTTTGTTTCTCTGCTTCTTTAGATAAGAACTGCATATTAATGTATTAATAGCGTCAATAAAACAATCTTGTTTTAACATAAATTTTTATGTATTATCTTCTCATAAAGAAATATTAGGTTTCTGAATACGTGAAAGAGAGGTGAAACGACTAATGAATCCAGAGAAAACAAACGCATTCTTTTTGCAAAAGAGAGAAAAGCAAAGATAATTTATAATTTACTTATCTATTTTTTTATTTGGAAAGAAATGGCGAGGAAAATAAAGCGATGAACAAAAAGAAATGGAAGACAGAAGAACTTATTTACAGTACACTGCACTCTATTGATTACGTGACAAATACCGGAATAAGAATGTAGAGACTGAGCAAAAATGAACTGTTAAAAGAAAAATGGATCTGGATGTTAACGGCAACAACAACATCCAAGAATTCTGTGATAATCAGTACAAACATTTCGTTGCACCATATGGAGGTATGATTCTCTAAATTGTATTATTTTTCTTGTCACAATCATGTAACCCATTTACACATTTTTTTTTCCTTCTGGAAAAAAAGCGAGTGTTAAAATTTTTATTTTTCTACTTATATACTTCAAGTAAAATTCAATAAAACACGTGTCGATTTACTTTTATTTATAACAAAATCTATTTTGTCACAAACGAAAGATTATTTTCAACAAATATATCATTTCGAATTTATCACATCTAAAATGATTATAGCATCAATTTTTTTCTATAGCGGAAAAATAAAATTTTCAATAGTGGAAAATTTCAATGTAATAATAAAATTCATACTACATGAGAACAAGATGTAATTTTCTACCAAACGTAAATTTTTTATAGAACACAATTTTTTACATTTTGTAATGATTTTCATTTAATTGAATATTTAATTGGCAGCACTATGCTACCATAAAAAATATATTTTTTTAATCAGTCAAATAAATAATTTAGAAAGTATTTGTATTATTAAAGGAAAATTATTATTTTATCTTCTGATAAGGAATATTCCGATATGAAAGAAATTTAATATTAATTTTAACATTTTATCAATACCGGAAAAGGGGAGGAGTGGAGGCAACACATATATCTCTATTCACTCTTTATTTTAGAATTCTGGTGCAATCCAGTATGGGACTCGTTGCTCTGTTGGCCGCCGACAAAAGCTTCTACCACAGCAAAACAACGATGCCCTTTTGTGGACGGATTTGATACGACTAGTAAGTACATATAATAGATACACATTTAGAATAGCTCTTGGATCTTTATTTTTTCTGGTCTCGTTATCTCTACATATATACTTAATTTATTGAAGAATTCTCGAATCGACAACACATACAACAATTATGAATATTTGTAGTCGTTTATCGAAATTTCAAGAATTACACTAATTTATTTTAAAAATTATTTATTTTAAAAACGATTTTATTTGAAAACATGCTATAAATTAAATAATTATATCATATATAGATTCTTGATAAATCAAATGAAAAATTGCAAAAATTTGATAAGTTTTCAAAAAATAAATGCCTAAACTTGGTTAATTTTTAAAGACTTGTAATATTGAGATTTTAAAAATTAAGTATTTACATCACTTTCCACAAGCATCGTTTGTTACAAGTTTAACAGAAGCATATTATTTAAAAACTTCGAAAGCGAGACAGTCGAAGTTCAAGATGAGCCGCAACAGTACTTCCTCTTTAATATGAAATAGGTGCAGCATCGTTTTTGTGCTCAAAATAGAGTGTAGCCATAATCTTGAAATTGTTATAAATAAATCTACATTGTTATAAACTTAATGCATCAATATATTTTACATAAAAAAAATTATAAATAAAATATACGTATTTTTTTATATTATAATCAATCTTTTATTTTTTATTTTTTATTTTTTACTTTAATTTTTTACACTGTGCTTATTGGAAATAACGTATAATAATTTTAATTAGTCTAGATAAAAAAGATATATGAAGGAAACGTTAAAACAGTACAATGTTTTATATCACCGACTAGCCAGTTCTGTTTTTTTTTTGTTCATAATGCGGTATCATAACTATAAAAAAATAGAGAAAATTTTGCTGCCGTTGCATTATCATGCATCATAGATTAATAATTTAAAATAGAATTATAATAAAAATCGCGATCCATTCGTGTGAAATAATTTTTTAAAAGTAATGATATTGTGCAGAGATATTAATTTTATTTCAAAAATATCGCAGATGTATATTCTTGAAGAAAGACCGTTTATTGAAGAGAACTTACCGAGAAATTTTCAAAAGTTTTTAAGGGCGTTTTAATTGTTTAAAATATTCTAGCTATATTTTAAAAAAGTTTGTAACAGAAATACTTTTTTCCTTTTATTTTACAAGTTTATCTATGGATTTTTTATTCATGTCGATAGAAATATGTAAACCGACATGTAAATTTCAACAAATATTATTATTTGAAATTTATTAGCGAGAGTGCAAGTAATTTTATAAAAATATTGTTAGAAAAAAAACAATTCTCGGCATATTTATTCAAAATGTTTAATATTGAATGTGATTGAATTTACCGAGGGGTATTCGAGCTGCATCATCGATGCTGCAAAATAATAAGTGCGAGACTATATAAATGCGTCATAATAGTTTCATGAAATGTCGATATTACCATTGTTTTCTCTTTTCTTATCGCGAACAAAACATATCTACACAGCTTTTATTCGTTAATGTTTTGCCTCGCTTTTTTTGTCTAAAAACCGAATAGGCAATGACGATAAGAAAGTTTGAAGTAATTTAGCGTTTTTAAATTTCCAGAATATGACTGTGTCTCAGAAAATTCTTATAATCAGCCGCATATGATGAAAGAAATTTATTAGAATCTTCTGGATATTTCAGAGCTATAAAGTGAGATTTTAAATATCACAAGATAAAGCTCACGCGAGCGCAACGGGGATGAAATTCGTATTATCGATTCGGTGAAATATTGTGCACAGACAGCTTAACAGGAATCTTAAAAGACGATTTGTCTCATATAGCACTATTCCATTATGTCGTTTCACATGCAACATGTTGGATGGTATGGGCATACTAAAGCGATCCGCCCTTCAATTTTGCGAGCTTAAAAGAAATCCTTAAGACGATAGCATACTACACGCGAGATTTTCCTCTACATTCTCTTTCATTCTTCAGAACGCCCATTAAACATGCCATTTCTTATTCACGATGTAGTATACATTTTTTAATATAAAATATAATTATATATATATATATATAAAGTATTCAATATTGTTATAATAAGATACATAGTAAAAAAGAAATAATATGAATGAATAAAAATGTTCTCTCCTTTGTTGATGAAATGGAAGTGCAAAGATATGAAGCGACACATATTTAGTTTCCAATTCTTTTTATATGTTTCATATCTTTTCAGAATCCGTGGAAAAGAAATGCGGCTACAATGGACATTGGGAATCGCAGAATGGCACAAGCACAAAAGAGTATTTATCCATCGGTTGGGCGAACTATACTACTTGCTTACCGCCAGAAATGCTGCGGCTTCACTACAGGGTCTACAACAATAATGTCGAGGGCGAGGTAAGTATCATCCAGAGATTGTAATTGATAAATCATAATATACGATTTTTTTATGATTAAAGCAAACTTGGGTACAGTTGTACGATATAAAATCATAAGTAGAAAAACGTGTTCTTTTTTTTTGCAAGCGTATACTTTATGCATTATAAATATACATAATTAAATATCATGTAATTTAATTATTATAATTATTATAATTATTATAATTAAAATATATTTACAAATTCATTGATTAACCCCTCCCTCAATTAAAATAAAAAATATATAATAATCTAACGTTAAGAAAATTATTGTGAAAGAAAATGTTTGCTTCGAAATAGACGCAAAATATAGATGCGATTAAGCACGAATATTCCGAATAAATATAAAAACTTTTTTTAGATATTTTTGACATAGAAATGATGACTTAGTTTCTGCTGATAATTTGCTATGTTAAAGAATTCAGTGAATAAATCCTATAAAAAATTCCACAAGTTTTCGCAATATCGATAAAATGCAAATTTTTCGTCATATTGAAGTATAAATGAAATTTTGTCATTTTCTCTCGCTTTTTTTCAGATGAAAATGGAAATAGCTGAGAAGACTCGTACTTTGGAGTTTGTTGGACTTAGTATTTCCCTGGTGGCCCTGCTTGCTTCCTTGCTGATCTTCTGTAGATTTAGGTTGTATTTCGAAAAAAACCAATTTTTTGTGCGTGATGAATTCAGATAAAGGATAGCCACTGTCTATTTAAAAAAAATTTTTTTTTAAGCAGTCTTTTTATAAGATAGCAATACATTAACTCGATTTTTGACATAGTAAAACTCATCAGCAAGTTTGTTTTATACAACAAAGTTTAACCACTTCTTCAAAAAAGCAGCAGTAATTTGCGCGAAATGTGTATCTACCATGAAAAAGTTTCAGTAATTATTAATATATTGATATACACACACATAATTATCCTTTCCATTGAATACGGAATGTATAATAGTGAATATTTTGCTGAAAAAATTGGATTTTTAATTTATTTAAATTAAAACACACACACATATATATATTATATATTTATACATTCATATTTGTGCGTTATAGTGTAAAATATGGAGTGTAATTAATCCAATGAAATGTAATTATGTATAAAGTGCATTCAGCACAAAGTATATTAACTTGTATAAATTTATGCGATGAAAGAAATAAATTTAAAGCTATTTGCGTTGATTAAATTTTATAGGTCATTACGGAACACAAGGACTAGAATCCACAAGAATCTCTTCTCTGCTATGGTCGTGCAGGTGCTAATCAGGTTAATGTTGTACATAGACATTGCAATTTTTCGAAGGAAGCCGCACGGCGTACAACGAGGAATAGGAAATACCGTAAGACACGAAATCAATATTTCACTGTTATAATCTCATAAAGAAAAAGGGAAAATTTACAGTTATTTTCCCGAAATCTTCTTTATAGGAATCTAAACTAATGAAATACTTTGACGTATTTTTAACCGCATCTCTGTCACATTATTTTCCGATAACGTCTTGTAATTAGAAGAGCAATTTTCGTATAGTTACGTCCTTTGATGAAAATAAATTTTCTTTACGAAGCGCGAGTCGAGGATGCAATTTCAGAAAAACCGCAACCAAGTCGTTCCAGATCGAATAAATGCATTATTGAGCACTCATTGTCACTTTTCTTGATTTATTTTTTCAAAGAACAGATTTTGTACGATTTATTCTCTGCTCTCTCGTGAAAAGCGGATTTATTTCTTTTTTTTTAGCCAATACTATGCGAAGCCGCTTACGTGCTGCTGGAATACGTCAAGACCGCGATGTTTATGTGGATGTTCATAGAGGGTTTGTTCCTGCATAACATGGTGACTGGTAAGTAGCCACATTTACACATTTTCCATAAGAGCTGTGTTACATCTTTTTTAAAAATATGAACATTTCTTTAAAAGAAAATCGTAGGTTAAATGACTGCTAGCTACAATGTACGCGTTGAAAATATTACTATTTTTATTAGTTTTATATTCACAGCAGTTTAAAGAAAATTAAAATGAATTTATTGATTAAACAATTAACATTTTGAAAAAGTCTTGCGTCTAATTTAAATTTGATTACTGTCACGCTATTGCATATCAATGATTACGATTTTATAGTGACGGTCTTCCAAGAGACATCTTATTATCGAATATATCGATTTATTGGATGGGGATGCCCAGCGCTGATGACTTTGGTTTGGGCTATTATTATGGCGTTTTATTATCATCCGAAATCAAAGTGTGTTGATTGCTTGACTGTTGAGAATACGCAAGGCCAAGTGTTTGCCATTACTATCGAATTAATTAATAAATAAACTTCTGTTAAATTAAAATTTAATAAAAAATTAGAATTGGATTAAAGAGTATGATTTTATTATCTATATATTATTTCGAGATTACTTTGCAAATAATTTATTTTTATTTATTAATTACTTAAAGATTATTGATATGTTTGTTAAGAAAAATAAATTCTATTTTGATTAATAAAAATAACGGTTTACATTTGTAACAATTCATTTGATAGTGATGCAACACTTTGTAGGCAGAAATACTACAACATGTCGAAATATTAGATTTATCAGGTGCTGGTCAGGATACAACTTATCGTCCTACTTTTGGATCCTTGAGGGGCCCAGATTCGCGGTTATATTGGTGAATATTTTATTATAACAATATGTTAATAATATAATTTGAAAAGAAAATAAATTCCATTTTACATATTTGATGTATATCACATAATACACACATAGACTTATAATTAATTGTTCTACATTAATTAAATTTTTTAATTATGCAATAAATAGTGAAATTGTAGCACGTGCAATGTTTAAAATAATTAATATATTATCATGCTAATAATTTTTATCGCTAAAGAAAGAAAAGAAAACGTAAAAAATTCTCCACTAATTATATTAAATAGTTAATTAAATTTGATTGCTAATAAATAACTATATAATTTTATCATACTTATTTTTGTTTTTAGCTCAATTTCTTGTTTCTGCTGAACATTATAAGAGTGCTTGTAGCGAAGCTACGGCAAAGTCACACAAGCGAAATTAAACAAGTTCTGTAAGTATGAGCAGGAATTTAATATTTTTGTCAAAAGATTAAAAAGGAAGAGCTTAAAGAATGTCTCTTTATTCTTGAAAGTTCTAATTTTTTGCAATCTCTCACTGTTCTTGATTAATTGATCTTGCCGCTTGCTTAATAAATGAGCTTAATTATTCCACTATTCGAAAATTATATAAATATTTGAATATCTAAAAAAATTAAGTGCTTTGTGTTCATATTATCGACTCATTGATTTTTCAATATATTCATTCAAGCAATGCTTTTTCGAACGTGCTATTTGTTGTCTGAGCAATTTTAATATAATATTTTATATGCTCAATCTTTATTTTTTAAGAAATTTTGGTTTATTATTATTGGTTTGCATTTTGCAGTTTGCGTTTTATTAAACAATTTTGTTATACAACTCTAACAATTATTATTGAAAGCGATTCCTATTAAAGGCGATCTTTTTGTTGCTCGCAGAAAAGCCGTGAGAGCAGCCGTGGTACTTCTACCTTTATTAGGCATCACTAATGTTCTCTTTATGATTGAGGCTCCCTTGGATAACGTGAACAAGTTTGCAGTGTGGTCGTATTCGACGCATTTTCTGCGATCATTTCAGGGTCTCTTTATCGCGACCCTTTATTGTTTCCTTAATGGCGAGGTGAGTGAAAAGTTTGACGTTTGGATTACATTATTAGTTTTGTTTCTAAGTTTTGCCACTTTTTGTGTGTGTATGATAAAAAAATTGAAAATAAAGAATAATATAAGTGAAAAGCACGCACAGTCTAAAAGACACTCTGTACAATCATTTGTGAATTATTTTTATAATAAAAATAGGAATATATATATATATATATATATATATATATAAGTATTACAAAGTTATTTTCTTATAAAACTTATTTATTTTTATCTACAAGTTTTATATTTTTCTGTATTTTTCAGGTAAGACTTGTTTTGGATAAAACTATTGCCGTTTATCTCTCTCTGAGAGGAGGCGACCTGCAGAATAAAAGACAGTCGACTTTTAATAGTTGTCAGCCTCATCAAATAACTTCAATGGGTAAGTATGAAAAAATTAATAAAAGACTATCTTCGATACGAATATATCAATGCGCAATGTGCATAAGTACAGTATAACGTCTAAAAAAAATATATTAAAATATAATAACATAGCAAATAATTCGCAAATAATTAATGAATAGCAAATAATTTCTTTTTCAAGAACTATGTTGAGCTCATTAAAAGTTGATACGTATTATATTATCGAAGAAACATTTTTATCAAAATATGTTATTTATTTAGAATAAATAGGAAATACTTGTATTATTTGAGAAAATGTAGAGATTGTATCGCTCCAAATTAATTGAAAAAATGTCATAATGAATAATTGGGTTTTACAAAATATCTGTTTCTGAAATTTCTTTTTAACTCTGATAAATTATATTAAAATCAGTAACAAGAGAAATAGATTCACAGTAATAAAAATATTAAGTGAAAAAATTGCCAAATAAGAGCCGAGGTGCGATAATCAAATATATATATTTAATACGAATCAAGGCGCGGAAATTACAGTACAAACTTTTTTATTATGTTACAAAATATTGTATTTTATTAACACATTTACATTAAATATATAATTTAAGATATATTTGTTAATAAAATAGAATATTTTGTAATATAATAGAAAAGTTTGCGCTCTAATTAGCGCGCTTCCGCTTTTATTTGCCAATTCTTTCACTTATTGTTAGTATATTAATATTAGTTTCTTAGTATTAGTATCGTATATTAAAATCCTGAACAATTTTCCAAGAGATATTAATAATTTTTGAAAAACAAGCACTCGATATTTTTTACATATGTTATCACGTAATATTACATTCTACTTGACGTACTTGTCTGTTTTGTTATTAATTTTTCGTCTGTAGAGTAGTTCTGCATCAATAAAAATCGTCATATGTTGGACTGCAAAACAATTATGCATCATCAATGTTGCTACATATATAATGAGTGTGCATAATAATAATTGCAAATATGCGATGATTGCTTAACATATCTCATTAATGCATTAATGGACTAACTGAAGCTTGTCAAATAGCATTGCGAAAATCGATAATATATAATTCCGATATGGCGCGCGCGTGTAAGTTGATGATGTATATATTGGGTCGGAACAAAAGTTCGTAGCGTTTTCAATAAGTGACGTTTGAACACGTGAGTTTGTTTCACACGTGGTTAAATTATATGGTCAAAATTGCCACTTCTAAACCGAGCGAACCAACAGTTACAAACAGTGCTCTCAGCTACGGTATTATCTCCATAAACGGCACATATCTTTTTTGCTGATTATATGAACAGGGTTTTTTCCTTTCCGGAAATAAAAGAGCATCAAATGACGGAAATGCACTTTATCCTCTATTTCCACTTTTAACGTAAATACATTTAAAATTCACAAATTCACACACAAATCGCATAGAAAGACATGTTGAAATGTCAGTTTTCAAAATATGTATATATGTCATATGTTTCAACCACCATTCTAGTTAAATTACAAGAAATTTAATTTGCAAAGATTAGTTTTACTAGTTTTTCCCACGAATATTTGTGTACGCTAATCGAACAATCGAACGACGACACAGAAATCAAAAATTAATGATTCGTGAAACATGCATGTGCCACAGTGATCGAGATGGAAGAGGCAGAAACGAGATCTGCCGGATTAGCAAGGCTTTGCTGTCGCGGCGGAAACACCCTATCAAATCCGGATCAATCTATCGAGTGAGTAATATTATAATAATGATAAGGAAAACTTGTCACCAATTCGTAATTTAGATTTCTCGCCTCTTAAGTCTGAAACATATCGCATGTAATTGCATTCTTGACACAATTCTTCAGGGCAATTTCACATCATGCTATGTTGTGTTACAGAACACAAGGACAAAGAGATGGAAAGATTGAATGCGCATTTCCTCGAGGTATTTAGTTGTATTTAGCTACCGCGTTGTATCTTTTTCACTGCTTTTTTAGGGGGTGATATTTACACTATCTACTAATATGATATCTCATAATTCTAAGTAATGACTTTGCTGTTTTTCTGTATTTTATATATATTAATCTTTCCGCGGAATAAATATTATCAATAAGTATAAATTGCGATTTATATAAAAAATTTTATCAAGTTATATTTACCATTAATCATTATTTTAAGCAATTTAGAGAAAAATATCGAGATTAATGTCTTCTCCGTATTATATTTGTTTTGCATATAATAGAATATTGCGATATTATTTCAGAATTGCAAGCTGCATGCGCGCATTGGAATGCATGTGGTTTTTGAATGCTTCATTATCCTTTTTGCATTTTCAAGTAATTTTTGCTTCTATCGGAAATTACGTAGTTTACATAATTTAAAAAAAAAAAAAATTATCATGGTGCAGGCATATGTGAAATCGATTTCTAAATTATTCTGAATTATTAATTTTAGTAAAATTATTTTGTGCGATTGATCTGTTAATTGATTTTATAAAAACTATTTTTGAAAATTCAATAATTCGTTGATTTTTTGAAAGGCGATAAATGTCAGTTTTTTAATTTATACGTAAAATATCCATCGCGAATTATATTCAGTCATATTATTCACGTATGTTTTTCTATTAGTCGAGAAATTCGGATATTCTTGTATAGAAAGCATTGTTGTGCCACGTTTCAGGTCAGTCATCTAACAATTGCGCGAATTCTTCAGCATTATCTGAATAAGATAAACTTGGCGTCGCGACGCTACCGCGTCGCTTGACCTTAGAATTGGGGAGCTGCTGATGTCACGTTCGGATTTCCGGGCAAAGGAAATAAATTTGTATTCATCGCAGATCGAAACAATGTGCATCACACATTGCAGTGATTGGTATTTTCTTGTAAGAATTTGTCTATACATTGAAAAGGAAGTTTGATATTCAACAAGTAACGGGACTCTCAGTATAAAGAAATGCAAATTCTAAGGCCTAAATTCTTTCTCGTTATTTAAGCCGATGGTGCTCAAATTTTCTCAAGTGAATGATGATATCAAATGGATGAGCGTGTTTAAAAAGCTTCTTTGTGATAATTAAAATAATGCAATGTTTTGGAAAAACTTAATAAAAAATATTAATATTGTTTATATTGCTAGATATTTATTACACTATCTTTAAAATATTTAGAGAAAAGAAAATGGTCTATCAATATGTTATATTGATAGACTCCATTTAATTTTAACAATGTTACTTTCTGTATCATTACAGAGACAATTATAAAATAAGTCATAGTTTAGGCATCACTGATATAAAAACTATATTTTAAATAATTGAATAAATGTTATATTATATCAAATTAACTAATAATTGTGGTTTTGTCTATCGCGTGCGCATATGTTTTATTACAATCAAATTACATTGATAGTAATAAAACATAAGCGCACAAATTACCGCGCTTGCTCTTGACTGCCTTTTATTTCCTTCGTATGTTATATTATATAATGTGATTTTTCAGATATTAGTAAAAGAAATAAGAAAAATTGCATTTTATTTTAAAAATAAAATATTAATGATTGCGAAGATATCTTATATGTTTCTTACTTAACTATAACTTTATTTTAAATTTAATCTAACAATAAGTTTTAATTATATACATATATAAAAAATTTTATATAAGAAATAAAAAGCTATAACATATAACTTTTTTGATACATCTTTTGAAAAAATTTGTTATACAATTCATCGTTGAAAAGAAAATCAATTGTTCTAAATTTGTATACGTACTTGTATATCAAACATATTTTACGTGAATGTTTAATTTAATCATTTTTAAAACAAAACTGATATAAGATGATATGTCTTCTTGATAATAAAAAGAAACGTTTTTCTTTTTTGACAATTACTGAGGATAAATAAGTAATTGAACGTTTACTATTCTCACAGTCAATGTACTACGGCGCTTCTTCAGACTTTCACAAAAATTCTTATGTTCATTCATACATTTCACTCTAAATTTTAATGTATCATTTTTTTATAATTTATAAGTTTTATAATTTTTTATAATATTTTTTAATAGATTTTTTTATAAAAATTATAAACGATACCAAAATGTACGACGGAAAATACTTTTAAGAGATACATCTTTAACAAGTGCATTATATTCCAACTTATCGAAACGGAAGTAAAAAAGGATTATACGAACGATTGGTCTCTAAACAGATTTTATTGTGTCAGATCACAATATATAAAAATGCGCTAGCATAAAAAATTTTCTATAAAGAAACATTGATCTTTCTGTTTCTAAAAAAGAAACGTAGGTAATAAAATTTTTATTTTAAAACTATATTAAGCCATTATTCACAAGGAGAACGTTATACATTTCATTATGAGCAACAAATTTTATTTTCTCCAAAGGCCTTTCGAATTGACCCCACTCGTCGAGTGAGCACGTTATTTATTTCATTTTTTAATTGAAATATTTTTAATACACTGTCAAACAATTTCCTTTTTTTATTTTGTAAACTAATTGCAGTTCCTTTTTATCTTCACATAAAAAAACATATTATATATATATATAAATTATTTCAATTAATATCATAAATTAGTTATAATAGTTGTATTAACATTGCACAATAATATATGTTATCATAGTATTAATATAATATTTTTTGTGCGATTTTTTTAGATTAATACTCTTTGAAAGAGAGAATTCTTTTTCTGCAAATCTAAAACATCTAATAATTCTCCTAAATAATTCAGGAGCAAGTCACATACAAGGAAACTAAGAAATATACGAAAGGACGGATTTGCAACCCCTTATCTGTTTCACAACCGATCAATTGGCAAGTGTAATTACCGGTATATATAATTTTAACCCTGTAAACGATCTGATTGAGTTATTCCGTAGCTATCGTGAATTAATGTATTAAAATCTATCACTATAATAGAACTACTAATAACTATAATAATAGTGCCTATATACTTAAAAGATTTTCTACGTCATAAGACTATCACAGATGCGTTCTAAAAGCCTATGATTTTCGTTTGCGCAATAGATCGATTAGCGTTCGTAAAAAAAAAATCCATAAAAATCACTAATGAGTACCCTGCACGAATCGATAATTGTATTGGTCTAATCCATTGTCGATCATGGATCGAAAAATCATATTGTCTATTCAGTACACGAATATCGAAAACATCTTCTTCTAAGATATTAAAAAATATCTATATCAAAGTTTTTAGTAGCATCTACCTGGTGTTACAAAGAATTATTCGTCCACTTATCTAGAAATCTTCTTTTGAGAGAATGAGAGTATAATATATAAATGTTCTTTTTCAATTTTATAACTATACTCGTTCCCATATGAAAATTATCGTCGAAATTCGTCGTGAAAACTTTTCTCTGTGTCTACCATCTTGCTGTCAAGAAATAAATCCATTTTGCTCAGAATCTCCGGAAGATCTAGCTTCCCGTCTAAATTCATATCCGATAAGGTAATTAAGTGCTGAGCCTCTTGAATAGCATGTCTGGGGTTTCGTGGATCGATGTACATCTATGAAAAAGAAAAAAAAAATAATTATGTTATACTAAAGCTGAGAAAAAGGAAAATATTTCTTATTTATCTTTTTACTTTTTACTGCTCTATAAATCTTTTGAACGTTCCTTCTTTAAAACAATGCAATAAATAATGTTGTCTATTGATTGTCGAGTTGTATGTATGTGCGGTCTATCCTTTATTTATTTACATTCTATTACACTCACCAAGAGCTCGGTTCGATCGGCTTTCCCGTTTTTATTCTTGTCAATCAGATGTCGAAACTCCTTACGCCTGTCTTCGCTTCCTCCTATCGATTGCTGTCGATCCTCGCGTAAATCTAGGCCGACCCCTTCCGATGGCAAATCCGAGAACTCGTCCTCCGTTAACTGTTCATCACCGTCTCGATCTAAACAAATAAACAAATTGCAAATAAGTTTGCTGACAAATTGTAAAACAAAATATTATATATATAAAATGTAAAGGAAAGAAAAAAGAATATTATCAACTCTCTGCTTTTTAAAGTTAGGTTTCTTAAATATTAAAACCCATACAAAAATATTTTATTTCACATTTCTAATTTGTTTTTAGACAAAGAGATTATGGTTTTTGCCTCTGTTGTATTATAAATTATATTTCTATATAAAAATAGTTATAATAATAATAAGGATGGAGAGAGGCAATAGGGAGTTTATTATAAATCGAGGCGGAATTTACCAAATTTTTCGAAGAGGTCCTCCACCATTTGGAGAAGAGCTCTGTGACTGCTCTCGGGGTGCGTGAAAGCCAGAAATTCGTCCAGACCCAATCTGTCGGGATCATTTCTAGCAGCTTCAGCCCATCGCGCCCTATCCCTCATTATGCTCTCCTTCAATGTCCGTGATAATTCGCTGTGTTTTTTATCATGGGAATTTATATAGGTCTCAGAAAAACCATGAGTTCTGAGAAAATAAGCGTGATATTCTTCCCACGAAACTTCACCTGCAACAGCAATTGCAAAAGCACAACTAACGCGATGATAATTTATATCATTAAATTTTACTTTAGTGATTTTCAATTCTTTTGCGGTTGCAGATAATAATGACGATAGTTTATATTAAGCGGTTTTATCTTATTCTAATAGTTTTCAGTCTTTTTGCGTATTATAACAAAATTCTTTTTAATATTTTGAAAGTTTAACTTTTAAAATTTATTAATTAATTATATATATTTATATATATTAATCGATTTGTTTCTTAATTATTTTTATATATTTTTATATAGATCGATTAGCGTTCGTAAAAAAAAAATCCATAAAAATCACTAATGAGTACCCTGCACGAATCGATAATTGTATTGGTCTAATCCATTGTCGATCATGGATCAAAAAATCATATTGTCTATTCAGTACACGCGCGAATATCGAAAACATCTTCTTCTAAGATATTAAAAAATATCTATATCAAAGTTTTTAGTAGCATCTACCTGGTGTTACAAAGAATTATTCGTCCACTTATCTAGAAATCTTAATATCCAAATAGTATCAAATACAATTAATATCTGATACCATCTCTAAGATTAGTGTCGATAGCGGTGAACAACCCAACATTCTCTCGCATAGCGCGCGTGATGTGCTCGGTGATCTTCGCGTGAATCCACTTCGCCAATTCCTGTATATCCAGCAATTGGTTCTCGTCAATATCAGCTCTGCGGAAGATGTCTTCTAGGAGATTTCTCGGATTTTCGCGATTTTCCGCCTCCGCAATTTCTTGTATTCCTCCCTCGTCATCCTTACGATCGATTCCCGTATCCTTGTATCCTGCCAAGTTCTTTTTGTCAACCGTCACGGTTTGTAATTCGAGGAACAGGCTGTCCATCACGGAGCCATCTCTGTCCTTGTCGTTCGAGGCCGATAGACTTTTCAGAGGCACGCTTTTATTGTACTTGACAAATAGGAGTGAGATATAGATTACGAGCGGCACCAGGGCAGTCCAACGCAAAAATCGCAAGCAAGACAACTCCTGCTTGCAGGTCATCCTTCGTACCTTTCGAGAGGAATCACAATCTCTTTACAAATTAATCTTGATAATTTATATATAATACCTAATATTTGTATTACTAAGTTCAATAAAAAGTATAAATAAGGTTTTAAATATGCATAATTATTTAAATAAAGAAAATACAGGATAATATTTTTTGAATAAGAAATATTAGTAAATATATTAAGAATGAAAAAAAAAATACACAAATCAATACAGAATTTAAATATAGTAAAAATGTAGATCGGTGGAACATTCTGACATAGATATTGAAGCAAAATGCAATCTAATTTTAAAAACAATAAATAAACATTTAAATAAAAAATATGAATAATGCAATATATGTGCAATAATGCAATATAAATATGCAATAAGTGTTTACAAATCATTTATTTTACTCTCAACTTATAAATTATTTACAGATATATTTTATTTTTACTGTCAATACAAAATAAATAAATTAATTAATTACGAAATAATCATCTTTACTATATATACAATATATTATTAACAGTATAATAAATTAATAATATATATTTATTATCTCTCTTATTTTACTCCCTTATTTCCATAAAAATGTGATAATTAATTTTTAGATTACATTCTTTTGTTTCTCAAAACGAGATGTACTTTGTCAGTTAAAACTTTGAAAATTTTGTATACAGTGCGACTGAAAATGAGATATGCAAAATAAGCAGAATGAGGAATATCAGCGTACAATTTATGAATGAATTAAGATACAAATTACAGGATAGCAAGGAGCGTTCTTAATGTTGAATAAAACGCATCTCCGGTAAAATGTCTTCAATTTTACTCTTACTCACAAGATGAGACAGGTACATTGCGACCGAGTAACATGTACACGATGATCCAAACCGCTTTCTAATTGCCGCTTCCTTCTCTCGTCAATCTCGGATAGCCAAAGTTTCCAATCTTCCCGACTCCCCATGCAACAAGATCGACTTATTGTCTGTCTGTCACAATTACACCTACATAATTCAACACATAACATTCTTTGATCATCGACAAGTTGACGATTCACTTTTCGATCGATGATATATAATGTAAATCCTCATTTTACGACAAAAACTAATTCAAAATCGGTGCACTCGTAGAGTTGAAGAATGTAAATATTTTTGACAAATTATCAATTTCTTTAATCGTCCAGAGCTTTCAACACTTCACGCATCAACTTGCACTAAGTCGATGAAGCACGGCCGAATCGATCGCATCGTTGTACGTGAAATTCGGAGAAAATTGTCACCTGCAACTGCCAATGGGTTATAGTCAATCTGTCAACAAATTACTACGTGCTCTCTATGCGCTCTTCATCGAGCGCAGACAGGCGATTTCGACTACTAGGAGAGACAGCCGCATGTTGCCAGACGAGCTGCACGCTCGCCGCGTATTGATCCACTTTCACTGTCCCATTCTCCCTCTCTCTTCCTTCCGACAATAACAAACGGTGTTAACGTACACTCACCTCATACTTAGGTATTTTAACGGGGTGATACTTTGACTGAGTCGGTATCAAGTATACATTAAACGTCGATACTTTACAATAGATATATCTGACCGATTTTTATTTTACTACTATAATTATGGCATAAGAATTTAATTTACATAAACCATAATTTTAAATTTTAATAATTTTAAATTTTGATAATTTTAAATTAAACCATAATTGTTTTTATTCTTTTAAAATAGACCCGAATTAATATTAAAATTATTGATTGGATGTTCCACGAAATATTTTTTTTTAGTTACTGAAAAGTTGTTTTATTTATAAGAAAATATTTATTTTAATATAGTTGGTCATTAATAGATGGATGATACAGTTCAACAAAAAACATTTTTTTCAAGCTTAAAAAAAGAAAACGATTATTTGAGAAACTTGAGATTGAAGTTTTAAAAGAGACTATTTTAACGCACTTTAGCATGCCACAGTTACGCCATGTTAGAAAAGTTTTATCACATTTAAAATCAAGTATATTGTTAGAACTCTCAGTTTTTAAAAGAAATTTGTCACATATAACAAAATCAGATTTGTTATGTTCTTTTTATTTATATTCATTTATTTACAAATAATAATATTTTAATACTTGTATCTATGATCATAAAATATCCGCAAAATCGCGTTGTCTTTTTAATAAATTATATACGAAATAAGAAATAAAAGTATATTCTGAGATAATCAAATATCTTTAATGCGCCCTGAAGGGATTCTTGTTTCCATAAAATACAAAAACAATTCATAAAGTAAGGCAATGTGCGTAAGATACAGAACGATTAAAAATATAAGAAAATCTCTGACATTTTAAAGAAAAAGAAAATTAAACTCAAATAATCTTTTCTTGGCTAAAATACTCGTAATATTTAATAAGGAATTATAAATATTTTCTTTTGTGTGTGTGTGTGATTATTAAATTTAATTTCAAAGCAAGGCATAAATATAATTTTGATAAAACAACTTATTTAAATTATTTATTTCTTTCACACATATTTTCAATCTCTCTTCTAATAAATAAATAAACAAATATGAAGAGAAATCATTTATCACGAAATGGCTTAAGACAGATTCTGACGAATTCTAATGAATTCAAATAAGACATGAATAAAAATTTACGCAATATTTTTGATTTTAATAAAACTTCGAACTCCCATTTTTTACGCCATCCTCAACGTAAACACGAGGTACGCAATCAACAAAAATTCTTTAGCTTCGGACGTACATTAGCACAACCATTTTCTCCACAACACAGAACGCTCAAAAAATTGCTGTAACCAAGTTTGTATCGCAATCTCTTATTTTTTAGCCATAAATTATTCTTTCTGTCTTTCTTAAAATATAAAATTACATAATAATTGCTCTGCTAAAAAATAGATAATTTTTGAATGTTTAAAAAATTAATAATTTTTAAATTTTTTATTTGATATTATAACCGGTATTTAAAAGAATCTTAAATATACGCGTGGTAATACTAAAAAAATCACGTATTTTGATCGATCGTATTCTTTTTCATTGGTTGCATCTATATGTTACTAGTTATTCTCTAAATCTATTTCTTCTCAATTCGTTGTTTATCCATATTTGCAGCTTCTATTATTTCATTAAGTAAGTGACTTTGATTTTAATGATAGTGATATAAAGTAAAAAATAGAAGATGGAATAAAAAATAAAACTTCTTGCAATTTTGTCATAAAGAATTAATTAATTAGAATTAATTCAATTAATTGTTCATATTGCAGAAATCCGGGATTATATCCCAACAATACCGCGATTAAAAATGTAGAGTATTCTTTTGTATAATAATTATAGGAAATCTGATTTTTTCCCTTCAAACTAATATTGGCAAATTATAAAATTACAAAGAGCAGTTTTTTTTTATCCAAATCCAGACAATCCACAAATCTGAAAGACACAATTTGGAACAATTAGAGCTCTTCTTAAACATCTTTACAACATCTGTCAAACTTTTGTGCCATCTCAGAATGAATCTATTCTGAAAAAAGGATCAAGCGCTTTTTAAATGTTCGCTAAACCTTCAGGAATGAATACCCCGTCATAGAATTTAACACTCGCTAAATTAAACCTCGACTATTTTCGCACTATTGATATCTATTTCGCAATCCGATGCGATCTATTGTATGATCTCGTTGCCGCTCCGCGTTCTTCAGGATTTCACTTCGGGTGCTTGTCGCTGCATCTCGTCCGCCAGCTCGAGGCCGAAGTTGGAGATACCCTGGACATTCCCATTAACACGAGGCTTCGTCTGCATACGGAACATGGCTGCGATCGGCGGACTCAAGTAGTCCTGATCAACGTCAGTGGGATTCTGTGCGCCCGTTGCAAAACTCGCTGCCACACCCACTATTATGGTCAATATGCAGCCGATTGCACTGTACCATAGATAACTGGTCTGCAGGCCATATCATAAGGCTATTATTATCGAGGTATATTTGTTATTTATTATGCAATCTCGAATAAAAATTTCTCTTGCATAAAACAATGCAAATACAAAATAAAAGTATGATAGACATAAAGTCGTATATAGATTACTGTACTATATGAATGAAAAAGAAATAGCAAAGATAAAAAAATAGAGAAAAAGATGTGTGTACATGTATATACGTATATGTGCGTGTAAAATCAAATTTTAATAAAATATTGATATTAATTTTTAATAAATTAATGTTTTATAGAAATAAATTAATAATCAAGATTCGAACATTTCTACCAAACGTAATTTAGTATTATTAATTTAATTTAATTTAATATTAAGCAATTAATTTGATATTTGTATTTTAATTATTAATTTATTTTTTAATACATATAAGAAATCGAGCGACACATTAAAAATAATTATATTTTCGGATAAATCTCACCTTGTATATAGACGAAATCTCATCGCTGCTCTCGAATTGATTAGAGATAATTATGGTCTCGTTGCAAGGACAGCCCGTAGTTGAGATAAGCTTACTATCCAATTGAATCTGTCCATTTACAGTTGCAATTTGAGCGCCTAATCCGATCCACAGCACAGCTACTAGACTCGTGATAGCACCTATTATTGCTCCTTTAGCATTAGCCCATGGCACAAACATGCCCAAGGAAAATAATCCCAAAGTCACTCCGCCTACCATGCCATTGAAAGACAGTGCAACCTAAGAATGAATAATCTATTTTTGGTGAATAACATACAAGTTACGGCACAATATACAGAAAAGAAGAAACAATATGATATAAAATAATATATAAAAATATAGAGCGTTGAATCATAAAACATACTTATAATTCGTATTGTATTCTTTAAAAATTATATTCCGCGCTAATTATTAATTTAAATCTGCAAAAAAATGCAGTAAAATTTATATATAATCTACCTGTAGAACGCTACCTAGTCGTTCTACGACGAAGACCAATGCAAAGCTGAGAACTCCGAAAAATGTACTGATCCATCTTGCGTAAACCGCGCCTTTACTTGCCGGAAAATCTATCTGAAAAAGCCCGTGTAAGATATCCTCGCAGGTAATCGCTGCTAAAGAATTCAGAGCGCTCGCAACAGTTCTGAAATAATTCCGGGAATTATTTTCAAGTCTAATTTAACGAATTCAGATAAAATTACATCGAGATGAATAAATTTGTGAGCATCCCTCTCGTTGAAGAAATTTTCGATCGTTTCTCAGCCATTGTTTACGTACCCGAGAGATGCGGCGAAGATACCGGCGACGAAAAATCCCGGCATTCCGCGAAGACTTCCCAAAACATTCATTACATAGAGCGGTAATATTTGATCCTGGTCGCTTATATATCCGGCGGTTAAAGGATCGCAGTCTTTGTAAGTGCTGTACAACACCATTCCAGTCAGAAAATTAACGCTATAAATTACGATCATGCCAAACGAAGATACCCATAGCGCTCTGTAACGTGATAATTACACGATTTATAATTACATAAATGTGTTACGATAAAGCTATAATGAAATAAAATAGACATTTGAAATAATAAATCAACCAATTTTTTTGCCTTTAGCCAAAGTCCTTGCACTATTGCGAGACGTTATTGTCTCTAGGACAGACACTTACATTCTTACTTGCGAGATGCTCTCGACGCTGAGATACTTTTGTATGGACGCTTGGTTGCTGCAGAACATGGTGGTCCAGTAAAAAGTACCTCCAATGACAACGCTCCAGAAACTGTGTCGCACTGTGGGTCTGGGATCCATATTGAAAAATTCTATCCTGCCAGATTTCGCATTGTCCTGCCAAACGAGCGCACTTCCACCAGCCCACGATAATCCATAACCCAAGATAAGGAACAATGAGCCGATAAGAACAGCGGCTTGGAAAGTGTCAGTCATTATTACAGCTTTCATACCACCCTATTGTAATAATAAATGAATATTATTTTAATATTATATATATATAATAAAAAATATTATATTATTAATAATATATATTAAAATAAAATTACACATTTGTGTGCAATAATTGCATATATTGGAGAGAATATAATTTTCTATCATGCTCATAATAAAATGTATAAAATATCATAGACGAAAAAAATTATATAAATTTAATTTTTTACATATAATAGGAAATATTATATATTTTTTCAATATATGTAATTGATGTATTTTTAATTGTTATAATATTATTAAATCTACATAATATTATTAAACTATGTATGTATAAAAATTACGAACCTGTGAGGCGTAAAAAATGCAGACTACGTAGACTAGAGTTACGGCTATGTAAGTATTTAGGCCCGTGACTGTAAGTGAAAGAATATAGAATATCGTTTATCGTTTTAATGCCACTGGATTCTTAGAATCACATCGATTGTAAGATTATTAAGAAAGCAAAAAAAAATGTGTTATAGGCACTCCTATAAGCTGTGGCAAAAATTTATTCATATACTCCAGTGAAATTATATTATAATAAAGCCAATAACAGAAAAAGTCTCGAGAGTTTTGAATATGTTTAAGCAAAAAGTTGTTCTATAGCCACTTTTTAGAGAATTAGCTCCTCGAGCACAGCGTCAAAACATTTTAATATGCATTATTTTGCGCCGCAAAAAATACCCGTATTAAACTTTATAATTCTCACATTTATTTCTAGTTCTTATTTATTGACTGAAATGCGCAGTTTAACTACATATTATTATAGCTTCAAATTAACGTTTATAAAACAAAAGAAACAATCTGATCATTATTTTAAAGACAAGAACAAAAATTTAAATAATTATGCTGTTATCGTAACTAATTTGTAATTGGTTTGATATATCATGAATTGTATTATTTTTTAACGCATCGCAATAAATTTAGAATATAACACGATCGCAGACCATCACAAGATACAATTTCAGTCATCACTCACCGTGACTTAATGCTAATGCAGGTGCATATACAGCCACTGACGTGTACAACACCATTTGTAGCATATACAGTGCGCTCGCGAGCAATCGGCAATGCTGGTTGAAGCGAAGCTGCAGATATTCGTAGCTCGAAGTCAGCCTTAATTTCATGAACACCGGTAGATACAAAATAGAGGTGATCGGTACCACGAGTATGAAAGAGAAGCAAGTCATCCAGAATTGAGTACCCTGAATAGAAAAGTACACAACAGATGCCTCTTAAAAAATAATTTTCGAAAAAGATTCAATTTTTTTAACACATTTTTCTTTGTTCTTTTTTTTTTAAGGAATATTTTCGAGTTTCCGGATGATATATTATATCGTCACACCTGTCCGTACATTTCCGCGGGATTTCCCAGAAGTTCGATGGCCGTGATAAAGCTAGCGGCCAGCGACATCGCTGTGGGGAACGTGCCCATGTTGGAGCCGCCGAGCAAGAAATCCTGGCTGGTCTCCTGTTTCTTGGCAAAGAAACCGTAGAAAGTGCCGATCAGACACGAGACTAGCAGCATCGTGGCCAACACCGCGTAATCCGCCCATGAGAAATAATGGAGCAAAGTAGGATGCTCCTCTCGACATTTTTGCTCATTGCTTTCATCACCGCGCCGCTGCTCCGCGGATGAAGCCGACAGGAAGAGAAACAGGACAAAGAGATGCCGCCGCATTTTTGCAGATATCTGCCAATCATTTTTTATATTTTATTAACGATATACAGTATGAGAAAAGATAAATCACAAACTTAAGCGTCTTTTAATAAATTTGGAAATAACTTTTATTAATAAAATATCAAAAATGCAATTTAGTTTCAGTTTTTTAAAAGCGATAGAAACAAAAGGATTTTATGAATTAATATGACAAAAAGTTATTCTCTTGGTCTATTGTAATTTTAATCGCACTTTAATTCTTTTATTTGACGCTTATATTACAGAGATTTAAAAATACGAAAGTTTTAAAAAATGGCGGTTTATCAAATTGTGTCGCTAAGATCAATTCTACATTAATTAAAGATGCATGTCCAGTTGAATCATATATTTAACCAGTTCACTGGTGGACTCGAAGTCAACGTTTTGTGCCAAAACTGATAAGAGTAAATAATTTCGTATTTGTCATTGAACTCAAAAACATGGATGTATCAAGTTTAATGCAAATCCGTTGAAAATTGGCAGAGTTATTCATGATGTCCATATATGAGTCATTACCAGTTTTGCCACTTTTTTTTGCCCATATATGAGTCATTACCAGTAAATTGGTTAAATTTATTAAAATTAAACTGCTAGAAAAAGACTTTAGCCAGTAAAAATTATTTAATGTAAGAGTATTGATATTAAGTGATACAGCAAGTTCCTGAAAATTATTCAACAATATGATATTGCGATGTTTTAACAAGATGCTTACACAAATTGATATATGTGACATTCTCAATTGGTGCTTTCATTTGACACCAGTCACCTTGAATTCTACAGATCTTATCAAATATATTGAAGATATATCGTAATCAATGCAGTCAAACGTCATCGGTACAATTTCGATAGAAATATCAATTAATTTAACTAAAATGTCAACGTGATGTGTTAATCAACGATGCGAAAAATTTTTGGAGTACTAAAAAAATATTGGAAATTAATCCATTATTTTTATATATTACATTATAAGTTATAATTGTAAAACTGGTGTTGAATTATAAGAATAGAGTATTACAATATGATTTAGAATTAATAAGAGATGGATACGTAGTTTTGTGAAAAATTTGGAGTTATTTCGATCTTTACTGAAATTTCAATATAAGCTATTACTTTTCATAATTTTTCAAGTTTCAAAATTTACACGCGCGATATCTTAATAAATTAGAATTGTATTAAAATTTTATTAATGTAAGATCTAAATTGAACGGCGAATAATATTTTGTCATTAATTTTGGTTTTTAAAGCTTAATTCGCCAAAGTCTTTTTACTTTTGTGATTCTATAGTTTTTTAAATATTTTATTTTTCTTATTTTTAATAAAAATTATTATTCCAAATTTTGTAAGAAGAATAATGGGTCTTTACATATATCTGCTTTTTGCCAATTATAAAAAAGCATAACTTATAAAATTTTTATATTATATAAATAATATATCAATGAATCTTATAATTATAAATTTATATGGAGACAAACATAAAATTGTATCTGTATAAATTGACAAGGAAAACTGAGAAGATCTATTCATTGAAAAATGAATTCCTGTCATAGAACATGATTGTGCTCGATTGCACAACGATTATTAATCGTTGCATAAATAAGTCAGCAATAAAATGGAACATATTAATCGTCCTTTTGCAGTTCATCCAATTCAAATTATTTAATAATCTGCGCATTGCCGTACACAATAATTGACAGCATCTATCGATAGTATCATTACTGATGTATTCTTCTATTCTTCGGTCATTATTAAGATATATGTTCAAACCGGTTAGACTATTAATTATCTGGTTAGAACCAGTTAGTTCGACATGAAACTGAAGTTTAATGAATTTAAATGTCAGGAAACGTATACAAAATTTTTATAGATTTTATTATAATTTTCACGAAATGTGAAATACGCGAAAAACGCGTGTGATAACAATATTTTGTTGCTCTCGTAACATTGATGAGACATTATCAATATTATTAGTTTTTTGAAATGAATAAAATATATAATCGATATTAATTGTATACATTTTATATTGATTTAATATTATATTAATTTTATTTGGTCACAATTAAAACAGACGTTAAGGATAAAAAATTACTGAAGTCAATGTTAAAAGAATTTAGATAAAAAGATTTCAGGTTTAAGGACACTCTATACACATTCGACATTATTATGCAAATCGAAAATAAACTTCCATTTGGTAACATATTAAATTTTTTTTTATTACGTTTTTAGAATTGTAAAATGTTGATTTATTTTAAGGAATATTAAGAAAAAGTTTTTTTTTAAATCTTACCTCTCTTAATCGCTTCTTTCAACACGTGGGACGGATCACCCAATTTTCGAGAAGATATATATACAAAACGCGAAGATTCTAACAACTAATCACGCTCTAATCGCGAATGCCAGTCGATAAGAATGTGCGAAATTGCAGCTGAATAATTTTACTCGTTTTCCTAACGTAACGCATATATAATCGGCTAATAGCTCGCTTCGATCGAAACCTCGCTCTTTCGCGAGAGTCTGCTTGTCCCTCGTTTGAAAGGAGACGCACTTTTTCCGATTTAGGATCGCGATATTTGCAGAATCTTTTCTTTGACTTCCAACTTCCACTTTCGCGCCTCTTAGTTCACAGTTTACATACAGCGAATCAACGGGTTATACGGAGAACGGAATCGAGACTGATCGTTTTAATTATCACGTGTGTGCCTTTATACGAACCATCATCCCCCTACTACTACGTGTGACTGGTTTCAATGTGAAACTCGCCAAAATAATAACAATCATCTTGTCCTTAGATCGCATCGATGATAAATTGCATAATTAGATATACATTGCTCTCATAATTTATACGCGATTTTGCAATTCTGTTTGTAACCTTGATACCCCTCATTAAATTTGTAAATTGCGTGTTTTCTTTGTGCCTCTAGTTGTATTCTAATAATTTAGCGATAATATTTTTATTATTATTATTGTTTATGCTATTTATTATGCATGACTTAAAAATATAACGTTGTTTAAAAGTTAATTTTGACGAATAATAGAGCAAGATTAAAACTTTTAATGATTTTGTATTATATCGCATATCGCATTGATTTTATAAGAAAGAAAAGATTATTTATTATTTTGCATATAAGTATATGCAACATAGAAATAAAAGAGATTTTAAAGTTTTATTATTAATTATTAATTTGCATCAATAATGAAAAACAGTGCAATCAAATTCTCTCTCTCTCTCTCTCTCTCTCTCTCTATATATATATATATATATATATGGTATCCTGTTCAAAATTTTTATGATATATTATTGCAATAAACAAAATGAGAAAATATTCGAACTTATACAAAATCATATAAGCGTGACTATACACATCGTTAAATAGTGGATAATTGTCAAAAATATGTAAATAACGTGGATTTTTGTTCAGCTGAATATCTAATTCTTTAAAAAAAAATCCATTCCATATAATTTATGTTGCATGACGAAAATAATACAAAAAACACAAAAAAGAGAAAAAGAGACATGTGTCCTCGCGGGTATGACACATCCTACACATACTACATACTAGATTCTGGTATATTCAAAGCCATGAATTATGTTCAAAAGCATAATTATGAATATGGAAAAAATATAAAGAAATATTAAAATTGTTTTAGTATTTTTAGATTCGTGTATAAAACTAAATAATTTTTTCCTTTTCTTTAATTTTTATTTATTTTCTTTTCCTCTCTCTTTCTCTCTAGTTTCTTGTGAAATATTAATGTCATACTTTTACTTGAAAATTACACCTTCTTCTTAAGCGAAATATCTCGCTATAATTTTTGTGTGATATCACGGTCGATTATCAATCATTCGCCTAATAGCCGATATAAGTTGACACAGGAAATATGTCGTATGTCCATTATAATTTGCAGCACGTGTTAAAATCACGCCGAGAATCCGGCTAAGTCCACATCTAACCGGTTACGTTTTACAGAATGATAAACAAACCAGGTGATTTCTAACGGAAATGTAATATTATGCATTGATGTACGTTAATCGAAATTGAAATCGTATAAACCGTACAACTAATTGAGTTCATCATAACAAATGTATGACAGCAGCAAACGATCCTTGAAACATAGTAAAATATTAATATGATGATATTATGTACGGATATCTATCACTTTTGTTTTTCGTATATAAAAAACACACATACAAGAATGTATTCCTAAAACTATTTTCGCATCTCTTTTCTATTTGAAGGTGTAAATTCTTTTTTCAATAAAAATTGAATTATTTTATCTTAAAAAAATACGCTCGATTAAAAGTCGTCGATTGTTCTTACATTGAAAGCATCATCATACTTCTTCAAATCGTTTTTTATTAAAACCTATATTTCGCGCAAGAAATGCGCCTTTTCTGGAATATCCTATCTATATACACAGCGTGTGCAGATTTAACTAGATAATACCGATTAAAATCAACGAAGAGTGGTAAGCAATTTTATTCAACGCATTTATATGCACGAATAGCTATGTCACGATTCCTCGGATATGATTAACTCGGATATGGAAAAAAATTACATTGCAATGTTAATTGCCCGATTATTTACTGTTGAATTATTCACACATATGTTACGCGTTATTTAAATATTATTAAATTTGTTCGGTATTAATGGCAAAATTAGATTTTGATATTTGCCAAAAACTTGCAAATTGAAGAGAGGGGCAAAATTTAATAAACTTTCATTAAATCTCTTTTAAAGAGACATCAAATGTGCTAATTCATCGAAAAATTTGTTTTTAAGATTCAATAAAGATGATATTTTTGCAACTTTTACTGATTATTACTCACCTCCCGTGAAATTTTAATCATAGATGATCCTGCAGATGCGTGGCAAAATCGTAGAATTATTTACGAGGAAACAAATTATTAATTGAAATTCGAAGCTGAAATTCTTATAATTGATCATGTCACATCAACCGAACCAATTGTGATTTCGATTTGAACTAAAATTGACATATCACACCAAGGAAAACGTGTATATTATCGCACTGAAAACAAACAAATTATTAATCTCATATATCACTCTTGTTAGATGCGATTATTTTATACGAAATAATGACTTTATCCCTACGAAACTAGAATCGAACGTGTTATATATACCTATATAAAGGACCGTTGTCATCGAAAGTCAAAGACAGTTTAACGTCACACAACAATACAAGGAAAACATGAGAATAAAGAAAGAAAGTGGGAATGAGAAAGAAAGAGAGTTCTTATTTCGGGAAATAATAAATAAGAAAAATGAAAAAAAAAAGGAGGCGAAAAGAAAGTGATGCACCTACACACGATTTTCAGATAATGACACATGTTTCAATTAATATAATTTGTTTTGTAATTGATCAAATGTTTTGTAATTAATCGATTTATATATTGTATACATATTTCTAAAATTTATATTTAAACTTTAAGTAAATTATTTTTATTTTGTGCGGAGTATCACGATAGGATAATTAATTAAGAAAGCCGAGTTTCAAATATAAATTTTTTTTTAGTTTTTTAATTTATTAATTTTGTAAAACGATAATTGAGTAGAACTAAACTATTTCGTACGTGTTGATATTATGTAAATTGTAATTGGAAATTTATTTATATTTTTTAAATCATACTGCATACTAATGAAAAAAATTGCAAAACATTGAATCAAGTGAAAGACGCGTCAATAGTGCACATCAAGGATAGTCATCGAAACATTTGGCATCTCTGACAGAGAGCGATGGCAAAGTAGTATGGGTCTTGCAATTCCACTGATAACTTAAATGATCATTAACGAATGGTCCAGCTACATCGTCTAGGAAGAGAAGCCAGATATTAGGCGCTGTTTTACAGGCTCGTGCACGAGACGTGTCTCAGTGGAAAAATAATTAAAAAGGATCCACACAGAGAGAGCTCCGGGAGATCTCAGCGATCTGGCGGAGTCGTATAAATTGAAACTGGTTTCAACTGGCCGTCGTTGGTTCAATCTGGCGTGTCAATCCAAACGAACCAGAAGCTTTTGCGTGGCCACCTTGGTTTCTTCCTCTCTACTATCTCATCTTTTTTATAATATAACTGAGTTTTTTTTTCTTTTACCCACTTAAGTATATATTGGAGAGAATCCAAAGAGAAGCCGATGGTTATATATATTATATATCATAGATGATAAAGTCGCCATTTGAAATTCAGTTTCTCGAAGCATTTGAGAAACAGAGATTGTTCCTATCTTCATTAAATGTTTCAGAATTAGTGTATATTATTATTTTATCCATGAATTTTATGACAAAACTGGCGTAATAAATTTAATTAATACTACCAAATATTTCGAGATCTCTATTTAATGCAAATATAGTATCAAACGTAAATTTTTGAAAGTTTTCAATTAATCTCATTGTATAATTGTATCATTATTATATAAATATTAAGTAATATATTAGACTCACTTGGTAATTGTTAAAGCTTGAATTATAATACATAAAATAATATCGTTTATATTTCTTGACTTAATTAAATAAATAAATTGACACGTTTAGTATACCAGCTTGGCATGGTATTATATACAATAACAGCAAAACAATTGCATTTTTAATATAATAAAAATTATTTATTTAAACAAATACCGCATTCTTGATACACATCACTTGTTAATTTTTTTGAGTACCAATTTCCAACATATCATTACCATTATTTTTCTAAACTTTTACAATATATATTAACAAACATAGTACATTCTGTAGAACAACATTGATAGATAACACGCTCTTGTAAATCCTTAAAATAAAATTTCAAGTATTTATATAAAGAAACTCTCTCTTCTCAAAATCTTCGCAAGATTATCAATGATTCAATCTCATAAATACTAATAGCAATAATAATGAATTCGGTATAAATAAATAACAACTGTTAAAATTAAATCATTTTACAAAAATAATGATGCTCTAACTTTACAGTTCCATCAGAAATATATAAATTCTTATCAAAATTCTTGTTGAAATTTTTAAATAGCTATACTTTAACACCAAATATATAATTTATTCCAATTCTTTCCTCTGGAAATTTTATTATTACAGCCACTATTATGTATAATGTTTTAAAAGTGGCTTTCTATTATATAAGATATTGTCAAGATCTTCTAAGAGATAATTTTCCTTTAAGTACATTTACGAATATGATAAATATGATAAATGTAAAAGGAACTAAGCTATTATGATCCGCATTCACGCAAAGATATGTTTCGCTGCAAAATTTCTGCACAATGCATGCACTGTTCTTTTTGTACAAAAATTCTATTCATAGACAGTAAACACTGGCAATGTATAAACAAAGTATGGAAGACATTTGTTGCAATACAATACACAAAATTATCTAGAGTTTTATATAAAAAATTATGTTTAAAATAATATTAAATGTGAATAATATTTATACAAATTCTCAATAAATTATCTATACTAGATCATAGATAAGATTTACTAAAATCTAATTTCCAAAAAAATAACCATCATATTATTGTCCTAGATATAATAAAAAATAGCTTTTCATTTCTATGATTTCCTCCCATGTACTTTTCTGATATGGAATGTCTAACGCCTATTAATCTTTTTAGATTATGAATTGTTAAAGTTTTGTACAAATTTTATCGGTACTGCTGTTCTTGTGGATCGCATCGCTAACAGAATACTTTCTCTGTAACGTACAATTAGTTACATCATTGATCTCTACTTCTCTACATCGCCTATAACGTATACGTCGCGCTATCACAGGAAAGAATAAATTAGGATCTAATTTGTCGTTTTGTTCTTTGAAAAATAAACGAGACAAACCACTGATAAACAGACCAAAGAAGAACGTTAATAAAAATCCAAGGGGAGCATACCACATGTATGAAATGCGATATAAATAAAAGTACGAACTGTCACCAACGCTCCTAAAAATAAATTATGATAGAGCTCTTTACCGACATCTTATATACATGGATTTAGCGATTATTCAACGAATTACTCACTTGGAAAAGTTTGTGACGTTTTGTAAAACAAATACTGTTGCGTTCGCGAGAGTATTATTCATATCACAGCCTTTGATAGTCGTTGGCAATATTGGTGGCATCGGGCGCGGTTGACCGAAAGCGATCCAAAACAAAAACGAAAGCACCGTAAGAGCACTAATTATCACACCGCCCTCCGTCGCTGATTCGGTGCCCATGCCAAGGGTGAAAACACCCAATAATGGACCACCGACTACTCCGAAAATGGTTAAGCCAGCCTATAATAAAACATTTCATTAATAACAACTTTAAACGCATTTACGCATAAATAATAATAAATTAAATTTATTGTCTTGATTTATTGAGAGATTTTCTTTGGTAATTTTATAATATTTTCTCGACTTACTTGAAGTACTCCGCCCAATAATTGCGCTAAAAATGCCAAAGCAATGGAAATAATTCCAAATATAAAAGCAAGTACTTTAGCAATAGAGGTTGACTTCGTAGAAGAGAATTCACGCCCTGTGCACTTTCTGTATATAGGTTTCATATAATCTTCTAACGTTACTGCTGCTAGAGAATTTAACGCTGCAGAAATTGTGCTGAGCCCTGCACTAAAGATACCTAGAAATTAGATATTCCAGATTAGCATGGGAGAATGAGTGTGAAGGAGAGTAAAGTGAGAAAAGGTGGGAGTGAGAGAATGAGTGAGGGAATGCATGGGAGAGAGGAAAAGAGGGAGAGAGAGAGGGAGAGAGAGAATGAGAGAGAGGGAGGAGTGGGAGGAAGAGGGTGAGAGCGCACGGAAAAAGAACAGCGGAAACAGAGGTCCCAATAATATAGGCGCGCGAGTTTAGATGCAAGGGGAAGGGTGTGTGTGCGTGTGTGTGTGTGTGTACGGCGTAGGCGGGTAAATAAGGCGAGATAGGCTAATCTTAAGTAAGTTATAAGTTAATGTGTAAGATAAATGCGCAGTGGTTGGTATGGTTTTGTTGTGAAGTTTTTTGTACAGTCTTGTAACCCTGAGGGGAACAATAAATCATTCTATATTCCAGATTAGCATTGTAAATATATATATTGTTGTTTTAAAATGATATATTTAAGAACTATGTAAATTATAAATTTATATGAAATTGTTTATAAAGTTATAATTTAGGTATTTATGCTCTTAAATATTTTTATTTTTATAATCATTTTTATTTCTGCAACTAATTTCTACAGAAGCTTTTTAAATATCAAAATAAAATACTTAATAAAAATACATCATCAAAAATATATTACCTGCAATAAAGAGACCCGATAGACCAGGTATACTAGACATTGTGTCCATGACATACAGTGGCATAAGCATATCAGGCGATGAAATCCTTTTCTGGAGAATGGGATCACAATTATGATATTTACTGTATATTGCCAATCCTGAGAAACAAGTTGCGATTGAGAGAATTGACAGAATAGGCCAAGATAACCACAAGGCTTTTTGTGAAGCCTGTATATTTCTAGAATAAAATTTGTTCAATGTAATATTAAAAAATTTTTTTGATTTAATTAATAAATAAAGACAAAAAAAATTATTTAATAAAATAAATAAGATAAAAACAAAGAGATTACTTAGTATATTATAATTTCACATACATGTACTATAAATTATAAAATTTTTAAGATATAATTATATTAATCGAGTGCATGCTACTTAAATCACATATTAAAGAACTTACTTTACAGTTAATGTACGTTGTATTTGTACTTGGTTCACTCCATAAATCGATAAAAATGTACATAAACCACCAATGATAAGAGACCACCAAGTATGTCTTACTGTTGGATCCAGAGAAATGCTGTAATAAGAATATGCATGGATGTGATAAAATATTACAATTCAATAATAAACTCGTGCAGTTAGCAGAACAGATAATACCTATCAAACTCGATTCGTTGCCCCTGCTTTGCTATTTCCCATATCTGTTCCAGACCTCCTACCTCATTGGCAGCTATGCCAATAACAATAAATACAGCGGCAAACATAAGTAAAGCTTGAAATACATCGGTTATCAGCACTGCCTTAATACCGCCTATACTCGAATAAAAGGCACAGACAAGACCGATAATAATAATACTGGCAGTCTTAGAAAATCCTGTTGTGGCTTCCAAAGCTAAAGAAGGAGCATAAAGTACCACTCCTGAGTACAAAAGCAGTTGAATCCAGTAAATAAAACTACCCATCATCCTAGCTTTTACTCCAAAACGCTTTTCTAAGTACTAAAATAAATGATACTTTCAAATGTATGATAACAATTGACAATTGTCGCAATCGTAGTAATATTTATTAAATTTTGCAAGACTGACCTCATAGGCACTGGTCGCCTGTAATTTAAAGAATACTGGTAAGAATCCATAACATACAATCGGAGTGCCTAATAAATACGATATATTTATTACAACAAATTGTGTCCCATATGTGTAATTCTCAGCAGATACTCCAAGCAATGTGATAGCAGACATAAAAGATACCACTAAAGCAATGGCAACAGGTACAATGCCCATTGATCGACTTGCAATAAAATATTCCTGTAAAACATGTTATTTTAATGTAACAAAACGTTTGAAAAAAGTAATTTTATTTTAAAACTTTCTTCAGAAAAGAATCAATGATACTCGATAACTGCATACCTCCATAGTTTTCTGATGTCCTCCACTGAATCTGTAATAAATACCAATTCCAATACTTATGCACAGCATAATTGCTATAACAAGATAGTCAGCCCATCCTAAGATATTTATTTCTGCCATAGTCTATAAATTATCAAATTACAAAGTTATAATTAGTATTGTTTAATTAAAAAAAAAGAATATACATAATATTTTTTCCTTTCTCTTTCTTCAATTATATTTATACGAAATAAATGTAACTTATTAGACATATAAAATAAAAATTAAAATACAGAGAATCTTAATTTAAAAGTCCATCTGTAAAATTCTTCGCAGTGTTTTGTAAAATAAAATTTGGATCTAAAATTGGTATTAAGTTTATATATTTTAGTTTAACGCATACTGCGCATAATATTTTTCAATTTCTATTTATACTAAAACTGAAATAATATTTATAAAAAAATGCTCTCTATTCAAGAGAAACACACTTTATAACATTTAAAATTCATGCAAATGCGTTTACATTTTTATAATCTCGAAGATACTTTTAAATATAATTCAATTTTGCGTCAATCTAGTGACGATATTTATAGGCTTATGAAACAAAACTTACGGTTTCAAATTTACTGTTACCCGGCAATCATGCCAAATTATCTCTCGTTTAACTATTGACACTTTCAATTGACACGCATTTCCCCGCGAGAATCTAGATAAACGATACTGCGATATACGTTTTTTTTTTTCGTAACATAGAAGAGACATAACAAGTAGTAATTAACTTTACAAATAGTCCACGCGTAACGACTTTACTAAATTATTAACTCTTAACACACACACGTGATCGTTTCATACTCGCACCTCGCAAAATTATTTATGTACGATCGCTCGTAAAGTCGATGACGCACGCAAATTGGGTTTTTGTTGATTGCACTGATAACATAAAATATCAAGGAAACGTGAATATCTCGCACTCGTCCATCGCGCCTCGTGTCCGTCCACCGTTCACCTCGACATTCGATCGTGTCAATGATTACATAAAAGTATCATTGATCGGCCACGCCGAAAAGCGCCGACAAACCACGCGGGCCGCGACGCCATGCCGGAAACACGAAACGTGATTTTGGAATTTTTAGTATAATTAGCGAATTACAGAAAGCCAAAGACTCACCGCTCGACAGAAATCTGAGATCCTAGCCAGCCACGATTTATCTGGCGCTAGGCGAGTATCGACTATCGAGTGCAATAGAACGCGTAGAGAAAGTATATATCTCCTCTTCTCTACTAGCCCGACGTCTGGCGCACGCTCGGCATGGTGGTTCGAGCGTTTCTGTTCCAAAACCGTATGTGACATGTGACCGGTCTTGCAGCATGCAGCTTGCAACCGGTCGCGACACCACGAACGGATTTAGCAGACCGCTGATCCTCTCAGGAAATTATAGAAGAGCGCAAAAAGCAAATTTTTTTTAGATTAGATAATTAATGATTTTTTAAATATGCTTTTAAATTTTCTGTCTTGCGGCAAAGAGACATAATTAAATTTATACATATAATTTATATATATACTGATCTGTCATCTGTTATTGATTTTACAAATCAGGTAATATTGATTTTTACTGCACAGCTGATTTTATTGTTTCTTATGTGTATGAATACTATGTACGGCGGTCAGCTGATATTAACAAACTATAAAAATTTTTTCTTTGTCTAAAAGTTATATATAATTACGCCGTTGTATTAATGCTAATTATAGTGTATTACCACAGATTTTGTATTGCAGATGCAATACGAAACGAAATCTTCTTTGCATATAATTAACAACTGTTTATAAACCATTATTAGTACGTGACGACATATTATATATGCTTATGTAGAATTACCATTACAACGGATAAGATAAAAGTTGCTAAACACGAGGTTTAAGAGAGATCTAAATTTAGATTTAGATTTTATAGATACCGAGAAATGTCAAGTTATCAAGAAACTTCATCATCATTAAAGATGATAATGCATTTAAAGAAGATAACTTGCATAATTAATTCACATAAACGCGCGAGGCGATATATGGAAAGGTTACAAAAAGTCTACTTTATGTTAAAATAATTATTTGCGCAAGGAAGCTGTATTAAATGTTATTAAAAATCATCTGAATACGGACTGTAACAAGAACGCGATCTGAAATGTATTTTCATGAATGTTTTATTTTTTGTTAGTGTAAAGGATTGAATAACTCTTAACATCTTTTGTATTATCGTGCAGTATTGTTTAAAGTTTACTTTTAAAAACATGTTTTATAATACATTTCAAAACATAAATTGAATAAAAAAAAAACACGCGTCTTATATAAATCGTCTTTTTAACTTTTATAACACTTAAAAATTTTTCTAAGAGAATTATTAGAAGAAATATTTCGCGAAGAAATAAGTAATAAAGTTCAACGATCAGTAATATGTATTTTAATATGCTTGAAATTCATTTCTGAGATATTAGGAGACTATATCGCAAAGAGGTATGCTAATAGTAATGCAGATCAGCAGTAATAATTTTGTCTTTAAATATCTTCGAAAATTCGTCTGAGTTAATAGGAGAATATATTTTGCGAAGAGGTCGCGCGGTAATACTGCTACGAACGATATTGTGTCTCGGCGCTTGAAAATTCGTTTCTAAATTAGCAGGAGAATATATTTCGTAAAGAGGTATGCGCTACTTGGCGCAAGATGAGATACGTATATATTAGCCATCAGTCACGCCCTCCCACGGATTCAATCCTTACTATCTCTTGCACCGAATAGCGCATACCTCTTCGCGAAATATATTCTCCTATTAACTCAGACGAATTTTCGAGCATATTAAGACATATTATTGACCGTGAACTGAATATTATCTACCTCTTTGCAAAATATATTCTCCTATTAACTCAGACGAATTTTCAAGTATATCAAAAATGTGTTACTGATCGTATGAACTGCATTACTTATTTCTTCGCGAAATATATTTTCTTAATTTCTCACAAAACGAAATTTTAAGCATATGAAAGGACATTACTGCTTTTTACTGAAAAACTATTGAGATCTTTCATGGAGAACCGAAACTAACCGAGATTCGCAACTTCATTATTACAGTCAACATACGGAATCATATTAAAATCATAATATTCATTATCGGTAGGATTGTTCACAGGTCGCAACAGAACTTCTTTCACTTAAAGACACTATAATCATTTTACTGTATCACAAGGAATAAATAGAATTAAATACAAAAAAAATAAGCACATTAATAAATATCATATAATAATTTACTAAGAAAAAATTAATAATGATAAAAAGCGTCTTAATATATATAGTTATCATATGATAAACACACACAATAAAAATGACATTTATTTTGGCGATAAGTTTACTATTTGAGATGCTCAGTATGTTATACACTTTTGCATTTATACATAGTATAAAAAATATAAGATTCATATAAAATATACATTGACCATATCGAAGGTATATAAAGATACATAACAAATAATTTTAAAGTATGTATATAAAGATGAAAATCTATCCTTCTGGCGAATGCACTTTGTCGACGTCTAAGAATGCTGATAAGTAGTACGCTCACGAATTATTATTGCGTTACCTCTGATACAAGATCAGACCAGAATGTTGCATAGTCCTTCAATATAGTTCCACTAAAATAAAAATAAGTTTTATTATTGTAATGAATTCATTGATATTTTAATGTAACTAAATCACACACACACACACATGTACATGTATATTATATTTTTTCTTTTATTTAATTCATAAATCATATTGAATTTCAAGCATAGCTATAATTATTTTTATATACTTTAAATAGTACTGGAATATTATAGAGTGCGTTACACGCGCGCTGTTTATATTTTCTTATGCTATATATTATTTAATAAAACTTAGAATTAAAAAAAGAAATATATTTTCTGATGTATAAAAATATAATCGTTTAATAAAGCACATAAATATAACATCTCATTTATTTTACGAAATTACATAATTTAATCGCATAGGCGATTTGCAAAATGATTCATCTTTTCTATGTTTTATCATTAATACATGAATAGTATATTTCTTTTCTAGAATTTCCATTGTTCGAAAACATTGCACTTACGTGAAGTAAACACTACCACGCGCATTCGGCGGTGCATTCCAGATAAAAGTGGCCTGTTCTTTTTGGCGTGGATCCGCGTGCGTCACAGCGCTGCATTCAGAATGCGTCTTTGTGTTCGGTGTTTGTGCCCATGTTCCAATCCATTTGTTTGTATTAGAATCACGTGCCTGTAGGAAAAATCCCTGGAATGATGCTCCTCCTATGGAAACTAAAAAATAAACGAGACGAAGTTTCAATAAAATTTAGCGCTATTTGTTCAAATAAAATTTAGTTCGCCTTTTATCGTCGATATACATTCATATATTTGCAATAATATAGCAAATGTTTTTATGACATGTTCTGAGCAAGTATGTTAATATTTCTCTATTCTAATGTCAAGATTTATAAAAAATTTTGATAGTATTAAAATAGAAAGATATATTAGAATAATAATCCATTCTTAAAAAATGCATATTATTGATTCTCAAGTATCGAAGTCATCTTGAAAGTCTCGAAATGTATCGTTTTTTTTCTATGACATTAATTGGTTTTCTTGCTGATTATCTATTGTTTCGTAATTGTTTCGTAGTCACGTCCTCATCGTAAATCCTGTGTAACACAAAGAACGATAATTTTTGTTCACATGATTATATCTGTGAATTAGAAGGTCGTAGCGAACTCTTTCATAGATTTTATTTTTCTCGTCTTTAAAAATACTTTCAAATGATTATCAACTCGATTCTTTATGCTATTTAATTTTTTAAAGTCACTCTTATCTCCATAGAGGTTGGAGGGTATTCATTTTGATCAAAAGATAGTTTTTATGATTTCATAAAATCTTCCAAAATATTTGAACCCTCTATCTCTATCTGTTTTAAAGTTATCAAAATGTTTCGTTTTTTGACTCATTCTGTATAAGTTTTGACACGTATTTACCTGTGATTTGGGAACCTGGTTCGTACTGCAATGATGAGGCAAATATTTTATAAGGGCTCGTATTTAAAGGCTGCGATCGCGCTTGGCCATGATAAGGTTGATTAGGTCGTGGTTTTACGCAAGTGTCTACGGGCGCTCCGTCCGGAAACCCGAAAACGGAAATTGAAGAAAAAACGACCAACACAAATAAGATGGTAATATATCTGGCGGGATGCATCTTTCTTGCTTCATTTCGATGATGAAATATATACATATAACACAAAATTTTGTTAATAATATATATAATATAAAAATTTATCCGGGATAAAAAATTATCCATAAATATATAATCATATATAAATATCTATAATTATATATGGAATATATAAATATATGCCTTCTTTCTTTTATATACGTTCTGTCCGTTTATACAGAAAAAAATAAAAAGAAAAAATAATTGAAAAATAATTTAAAAAATAATTTTTGTATTGCTTTTTAGAAAAAGTAAAATTTACAATTGGATTATATTAATAATATTATATATATAATAATCATAAATATGTATTTTATACTAGACCGTTAAAAAAAATATTTCTTAATGCTAAAGATGATACAAATAAAGCAGCCATTTTTATGTGGACAGACAATATAGTTTGCGAATAAGAAATATGTGCATAGTATACAGGATATCTGATAAAGAGATACGGTATATCGAATTCTGCGCACCTAGTATTGACACTTTGCCCAAATAAAAATAGCTGTTCTTACATCATCTCACCATATAAGATTTAGCGACCGTGTTAGCGCGGTCTAGTATATACGTATATGGACATATTCTATATGTAATTATATATAAATGGACATCACATACACACACCATTTTTTTCCGAGTTGATATTTATATATATTTTAATATGATATATGCTATATACGTTGTAAACCTTATATTGTATGCATATAATATTTAATAATCTCATTATTTGATGCTATTTTCTGATACCATCATTTTCGTAGGAAAACCAACTTTAAATAATAAAATATATATTAAAACAATACTTTTTCGTATAACAATCTTTTAAGTAGACGCGGAAACGTAACGTTTTTATTTAATTATTTATTTTTTAAAAATGAATTTTGTAACAATTATACAATATAACATATGTGTTATATTACATATTACACATTTATGAGTGAAAAATTATAATTAATCACACACATACACACAGTTTTATTGTACTTTTATAACATTAATATAATTGTATTGAAAAGATATTACTTAGGATAAGTAATATGCAATATCATGGATTCTCTTGATGAATTAATAATAACGCGAAAAATTCATTGCCTCTTGTTTAGACCAACAATGACTTAAATAGCCTCTAGATAATGAAATACATTATAAAGAAACTTACTTGAGAGAAAGGTTGCTATTATATGAAAATCCTACAAAGATAAAGAGAAGATATGCTCGTGATAGAAACGCATGTAAGAAACTACAGTGCACGATCACTTGCCGGTACGCGTCAAATGTTGGTAAAATCCCACCATAGAATTGCAAAACTGTACTCAATTCGCTTTTGCTAATTGATTACTTTCACTCACACGATCACTTGCCGGTACGTCAAATGTTGGTAAAATCCCACCATAGAATTGCAAAACTGTACTCAATTCGCTTTTGCTAATTGATTACTTTCACTCGGTTCCTTCGTATCTCTTATAACCGGTTCCTTGTTCGTTTAGAAGGATATCTACAAGTTCTATGATAAAAACTACGTTGTATTTGTCGTATATAAAACGGATTATTTTTTATATATCACAAAACATATATAATGTAATAATGTCGTTATTTTGTTGACAAATATAAATAAGTTGATCTCTTGCAAGGAAAATGTTAATGATAAGTTATTATTTATTACAACTACATAACTTTTTATTATAATTATTTTTGTCATAATTATCTTTGTTATATTGGAAACTAAATATTTAATAAAAAACAATTCAGAGATTATATATGGGATGTTAATATAAAAGTTGGCATATACTATTGCAAAAATAATAGTCGTTTAAAAGATTTTATTTCCATTTTCAACTAAATCGAATCGAAAACTCTTTATTGTATTTTCTTTCAATGACCAGTAACGAAATAATATGTAAAAGTTAATTCAGAAGTTCTTTTTTTCCCCCTTTTTTTGTCAAATTAATGAAACGATTTTGTCATAAATATATCACACACATACAGCATATTTTACCAGCTCATGAATGAATCAGTTTAAATATATTGCACTCTACAAACAATGCAAATCAAAATAAACAAAATGAGTTTATCGAGAATAGTAAATTTTCAAATATCTTCGTCCATTACTTGCTTTTTATTGAATATATATATATATAGATAATTTATCTTTATTTTTTGATATTACTGTTGTCAAACAGAATACCAATTGCTGCAGTGTTTTTGATGTTCCGTACATCATTTTTATGATATATATGTATAGTATTTGTATATTCTTAAAATATATTTCACAAGAGATTCTTGATTTCTTTTTTATGTTAATACATACTTTGATTATTAAATGTTAATATGTAACGTTGCAAATCAAAAGATCATAGCCTTAATTTTTAAATAACTTTAATTAATTATTAAGTGTTATTTATTAATTATTAAACCGATTTGTCAGATAGTAGGTTGAATTATTATATTTTATTACATATTGCATTCAATTATGTATTTCGCGAGCCTAATACGATCCTTTCACTATCATCAAATGTGTTACGCGTATAATGTCGTAACACATTCATCGCAACTTTTGCATTATCTCAGAATAATAACCTTGATCTTTTTATATGTTCTCTTATTCTGTATTCATTTATTAATTAATATAGAAGAAGAGGTGGTAATATGGACTATTTTTTGTTTCAGATGAAATATATTATTTAATATTTGTATAATTAGCAAAAAAAAAAAAAAAATGAAACTATTCAAAGATATGAAAATATTATTTTAATACATTGCAAATGTCTTAGAAAGCGAATTGTTAATATGAAATAAACATAAAAATAAAAGCATAAATTTTGTTTTTGATTATTCTATCTAAAAAATCTTTCTGAAAAAAAATCTATATACTAATAAAAAATTTTTTTAGTTTTTATTTTTAAAGTATTATTTTTTTCTTTTACATTTAAGGGAATTCAATAAAAAGATCGTTTTAATAATAAAATTTAGAGAAAATATACGATACTATTTGTATTTTATATTCCGCAAAACAATAACAAAATAAAATAAATAAATACACACAATATAAAAACTATTATTAAAATATAAAAAAAAAACACAAAAATATAAAATAATATACAAGTAAGTGAAATTTATACGATGATAATAAGAATAATAAGAACCATACAAAGTTTCTTAATAAATATTTTAATACATTGCTGCAAACTTTGCTTGGTAACATCTCTTTATAGGGTACAAAGAGCAAAAATAAAAATACTTTTATTAAATAAAACAAACTTATGCTATTGATTAAACCTATTAAAAACTTGATTGGTTCAGCCGTCACTGAGATCCAATATTTCAAGATACTCGTAATTGGACTGTTCAATATCCATATAGATATACGGTTCGCCTCGCTATTGCTGCATCTGATTTGGCGCGAGTCACTATCATGTCACTTGACAATAGATTGTATTTGTTTCTATCACATCATGAAAATAGATTATGTTCTACTGTTTCTCTGTCATGTATGTCTGAGTAGCAATGCTACTCGAAATTTGCTGTCTTGACGTGATAAAGACAATGCTCGAATTTTATTGCATTTAACCGTCATATAATATCGAGAACATACTGTCAAAAACAAAGTTTAATGAAGAGATATATCAAAATTTATTGCAAAATCAATCATGATTTTGTTGCCGTATTGCTGGCATACTGCTAGCATTTTGTTATCTAATTGTTCACATATCTTCAAGCACACATAAATATTGTTATATATCTTCAAAGTTTAATTGTCCTTAAACAAGTTATCTGAATCATATAAATCATTTTCTATTACTTCAATCACACAGGGGCGTGGAAACCATCCTCTAATACGTTTCGATCCCACATTATTTTCTCCTTTCAGCTCTTTTTCTCCAAATAACCAATATCTGTAAGAAATTAAAACTGTTTTTATCGCACAATAGCTTTTATATACACTCACACATACACACATAAATAAAAACTTGAATAGTATATTATAAAAAAAAAAAATTAACAATTTAAAACATACTTTTTCCAACGCGTTACAACCATAATATCATCTATATCCAATTTGATACGAGGTTCATCAGTGCAAGGCGGATGACAAAATACACCACAGCCATATCTAATTGGAAGTTTTAATCCTGAGGCAGTTTTTATAGCTCTATACTTGCGCGCTCTTTTCCGCTTATCTAATTTCTGTGCGAGTTGCTCCCTCTATAAAACAGTGATATGTTAAATAGTATATACTATATAGTGTAATACTATATAGTGTAATAATATATAGTTTGGGAGGGTCCCATTAGCGCACATCTCGATAACACACAATAACTAATAAATATCAGGAAATATTGTGTCCAATCGAAACATGAACAATCGAGACATGGATGTCACTTTATAGTTTATAATATATAAAGTTTATAATATATAGTTATATAGTTATATATTATATAAATAATTATGTTTTTTCGAACTAATAGAAAGAATAATGTGTAATGTGTGTGCATATGTATGTGTGCTGTAAACTTATACTCATTTTATAAATTTTAATTTTACATATGCTGTATTTAATTGATAATTATTATATGAATTAATATAACATATTATTATTTTTATAATAAAATCTCACTGTTAATGTGTATTGATCACAGCCATCAATAACGGGCCATGTAATGCCATCACCAACTGGGGTGCAATCCCATGTAAGAACCTGACTAATATTGAAACGCCATCCTTTTGAATATGGATGTACATATTTAACATCTGTATTATCTCGCCGGCATCGTGCCTTTTCCAAAATCCAATCTTCTATTTCTGTTCGATTTCTCACAATGGCTAACATCTATGCAATTTAAAAAATGTATTAAAATTGGACATAGTAAAATTTAAAAAATGTGAACATATACTGAGACTTTATACAAGATTATTTACCTGAAAATATAACAACATTCCTACTGCAAGTATAACACCAATAGATAAACCAATACTAAATACTACTAATATTAATATATAGACTGATGGTGGTGGGAATGGCAATGGCTTCAGAGATAATACAGTCACAACCCAGGAAATTAATATAACAGTGGAGACGCAACAACCGCCAACTGCACTTGCTAAAAATGCCGTAAAATGACCATGATTATAATGTCCAACACATGTATTTATCCATGGACAGTGATGATCCATTTTCATTACACAACGATCACCTAAAAAATAAAAAATAAGAAGAGAATTATTAAAAGATAAAATTTATGTGTTAATTTTAAACAATATGTTATAATCCAAGAGACTCCACAATTTTATTTTATTCAAAATAAATATATTTATCAGCGTTTTACCATTTGTAAGGCGTTAACGCAGCAACTGATCGGCAATCGCGTCATATATTATGTTACAAACTTGCAAATTAAGCATTTGGGCTTTATTCGCATGAGCCAAGCAAGAAAGATTCTATGTTGTCATGTCTAAGTATGAATCTCCAAAATTTTGTTAGAAATACAAATTATAAAAATACTAAGCTCTAATGCGCGGCAGATGCAATCGTTGATCTAATTTTGAGTCGCTGTATTAGCATCTTGCAATGATAATACACATTGATAAATATTCTTATTTTTAGTAAAATGTTTGAGTTTTTTGAGCTATAATAAGAATATAACAATATTTTTAGCACTGTGTGTATGTGTGTTGCTCACAATCAGTATTATTTTTTTGTCATCAATAAAATATATTTATAGATAAGCACAATAGAATATACAGGAAATATCAAAAATTGTGATACAAGCAAAATAGCGATTCCTGCAAATACAAATCGAAAATGTAAAATAAAATTTTTTCATACAAGATATGTTTTCGAAAAATTCGACTTGAAGATTCGTCTAGCACATGTACAACTGATTTCGAACTTTACTGCATCCATGTATTTTTGTAGCAAGTTTCAATAATGCATTTATTTTGTTAAATTACAAATTGCTAAAAATGTCATTTTCATTGTTGTACACAAAGTATTGCTTGACAAAAATTTAAAAAGCGTGAACTGTTAATTTACAATTGTTTATAAATATAAACAGAAATAATTGTGTAGTAAGATCTATTGAACTTATTTTCATTATTAATCAAATACATATAAGTGTTCAAAGTCAATTTTTTCGAAAATAAAACCTTATATAAAAAAATTTCATTCAACATTTTCAATTTGTTTTTGCATAAGAAATCATCCCCATTTTGCATACTACGATTTTCGATATATTTTATATAAAAAAAGAAATTATAAATCATCCAAAAAATTATCCTTAAATCATATATTGTTACTAATGAGTAAAAATTAAATTTTTTAAAAATATTAAAAAAGAATATTTATATTATATTAAATCTTACATTTTCTACAATGATGTGACCTTGGTGCCTTATACCCTTGACAGACAATACAATATTGTAAATATTGTGTATCTGTAATTTTCTCCTAAAAGCAAATTATATTGATAAATAATAATAATGAAATTTAGTTTCTTTTAATTTGCTTTTTAATTATTTATTTATTTTTTTATTTTATTGCTTATTAAATTTATAAACAAAATCTACAATTTTGTTTTTTAATTTAATTTTAAGATATGATAAGGCCACTTAAGTAACAATATAATTTTTTATTATCTATGGTAATGCAAACTTGTATGCGCATACATACTGTCAAGTGACAAATACAAAGTGATAAGAAATCAGTGCAATAGGAAACTTTAAATTTAAAGAATCCTATCTCTGGAAATGAAGAATTGAGGATAGAAGAGTTTTATTACACAAATGTGTATTACCGGCATCCATTTTAATTTAAGATATCCTGGTCCTTCAAAGATTGCGCTGATAAAATGAAACAAAGTTAACCCACTCAGAGTAAAGAACAATAAAAAACTGGTAGCAGCTGGAATACTTTCTTGTGGTGACCACCATTGTTTACTACAGTGTATCGTCATTAACGTAATTATCTTTATTATTCCTGCAATACAAATCAATATGATAAAAAAAGTTGCAATCTTATCAAATTATCTTCGTTATGGAAATTCATATTTTGCATCAGGATTACGATCGATAACGTATAAATGCCAGGTATTAACAAATGCAGCCGATAAATAAACTGTCAATTCCGTCATTTCATCGATTCTAACCTCACAACGGTTGATTGACGCGGTGATGAAAAGCCGGTTAGCAGGTGTCACTTACCGAGAGCAGAGAGTGGTCCCCAATGGCATATCTTCTTCAGAGGACTAATGCACATGTTATCACCATAGAACGGCTGAAAAATGTCACGCGAATTCGATTCCTATACAACCGGCGTGCTACCAGTGAGTTTGATCGCGATCGATTTAAATCGATCTTGATTCTTCTTCTATGTTTTGGATGATACCGTTGGACAAAGTGAGGTCCAATCTCATTGCCATAAACGGTCTTTATTCGATTAATTCCTCTCGCGTGCTTTCTGCATTATGTTATCACGACGACGACGGCACATTTTTTACAGAAATCGTCAACTAGGAATTAGGAATCCATAGTTCACGACCGACCGACAGAGCTCTCCATAGTCTTTCCACAGCTGATAGTTGCTAACCAAAAATTCAGGTTATATCGTTAAACCGAAAAACAAGTACTCGGTTAACGGCACGTTAAATACCTGCATAAAAAAGAAAAAAAGGTTATATTGTCCCATGACATTTTCACGACGAGAAAAGATGAGCTCATCAATTGCGAAATGAACGACGAGGTATCTCTCCGAAATATTATTGCTCCGTTTCATTGATTTTCTTGAAATTTTCGTAGCTTTATTAAACGATATCAATGAAAGAAGCGGAGAAAATCCTCGATTGCGACAGAACTTCCGGTTCTTATGCATATTATGACTGCGTTCGTAACACTTGACACTATAAATACTGAAAGCATTTGTTTGATCATTCGGGGCAAAGATTTTTTTATCCTGATTGATCAATTAAACATTAAACGCTTTCAGCACTTATAGCATCAAGCTGAATGCAGGTTATGTAATAGGATATATCAAAAGGTGAGGTTCCCTGTTTTATTATGACTTTTATTTGTAACTTTTGCACAAATTGGACTTATTGTGTTAAAATAGAAAGATTATAGTAAAAAGTAGTCATTAGCTTCTATTTTAACACAATAAATCCAATTTATGCACAAGTAATAAATAAAAGTCATAATAAAAGAATTCTCACTTTTTGATCCACCATAGTACTAGTAGATAACACACTATAATTTCTCTGTCATCTTCCTTACCCATATGTCACTGATATCATATATGCAATGTTTATCTTTAAAACACAATCAATTTACCAATGTCTAATTAAACAGTGTAGTCAATACATTGATACTAACTACAGAATTAGATTGATTGTGAAATGTTTTATTAAGATATATAATTATCTCTGTGATCTATCTGTGAAATAAATAATATATTATTGTTTTGCAGACTCGTGACTTACCATCATCTAAACCATCTACACCTAAATGTCGAAGACCTATAAGAGAATGTGAAGAAAAAAGTTGTTTACAAAATAATTATCACAATTCAGATACGGAAAATAACGTATCTGAACAATCAAAATTAAACTCATCTGAAAGTGAAACATCAGAAGATGATAGCATTAAAAAAATAAACAATAACACAAATGAACAAATAAAAAAAGCTTCTGATGAACATATTAAGGGGAATGAGAAAAAAATATCTTCGCAAAATGATATTTCTTTAACAAAAAAAAAGTTCTCATATGAAAGTTCTCAGTTACGTATATATGAACAAGATACAAATAACTCTTGTGTAGTATCTCATTATCATATCATTATTTTAGCAATTATAGCAATTTTAGTTGTTTTATTTATAAATATGGATGAAAAACAAATACAGCCCAAAAATAATTTTACTTCACGGTTTAAATCCTTTGAAGAAATTAAAGCAACATTTTGTAATCAAGAATCAGATACTTGGAATGATATTGCAACTGCAATAAATGAAACAAAATCAAGAAATCCTATGAATAAACCTCAAATTATTCTATTATTTGCGAATGAAACCACCACAATGGATTGTTTAGCCACAGCATTGGCAAGTGTAAGCAGTATTGTTTTACACATGGATAGTCCTCTATACTTAAATCCAGAAAATTTTGGAGATGATGCTGGTAAGATCATTACCAAACTAAAGAAAGATTCTTCATCAAAAAAAGTTGTGGTATGTATATATACATTTCAAATCTAATTTCTGTTTATATTCTAGCTTATATAAACAATTTTTTTGCAGTTAATTCACGATGTATTGAATATCAATGTAGAAGCAATAAAAGCATTACATAATTTGTGTGATAAAATAAGCCCTTTAATTAGGGAAGCTATTTACATTTTTACTATGCAAACCAACAATTATCAATCATCACAGCAAAAATTGAAGTTTGTAGAGGATCAGTTTTACCATAAACTATCAGAAAGCATTGATCAAGATATTTTAATGGCACTTGTAACGCGCGTTACAGATGCAGCAATTATATCCGTACAACCCGAACCAAATTTAAGATATTGTTAATCTTAGTTGCAAAAACAATATTCTAAAGGCACTTAGTATTAATAATACAGTTCTATAAATAATAAGATTAGATATAAGTAAAGAGAACAACAAAGTTTAACAAGACATGAATTGATACTTGTAAAAGATGCATATTTAATGTGTTGCAAGATAAGGCTCCTAAATTGTCACTACAGCTATGTCAGATTAAGATTATCAGAATCGAGTAATTACAAGTATTTTCTTGAATCATACAACATAAAAAACTAGTTTTTTTTTACACGTCATCACTCATATTTTTTTATTAATTAAATTCAATAATTTATTTCACACAAAAATCAATCATTTATTTTTTTTTCCTTTATATAATGTCTATTGTCCTAATATAAAGACACTACAGTGTCGAATTAGGAGCCTTAATTCTCTTAGCATCTGCAAGAATATAAATTACATGATAGCTATGGCAGTCATGATCAAATTTCTCTCCGATTATAAATTAAAGAAATGTAAAATTTATCTGTGTTAATTTAATTTTATTTTATTATGTCAATATTACACGAAATAAATTTTATTTTTAGTGAATCTTTCTAATCAGAATTTCATACTTCTATGTATTTTCGAAAAATATAATGACACTGTTATGTATCTACTGAGATTTAACGTATATTTCCGAATATATTTTTATTTAGCTTTAAAATAAAATACAATTAGGATTATCTCAGTGTATATTTCGATTTTCGTGTTAATGTGTCAGTCGGCAGTCTGTACAGTAATTGAATAATGTCTAGTATCATATACTCATTGCCAATTTACAAACCTTTTCTTTCATTACAATTTTAATTTAGTAAATAAAATAATTCGGGATAATTATAGAAAAATTGCAATGTTATTCTTAACATACAAATTATTACTACAATTACAAATATAAGGAAATAACAAAAACTTGATTTTGTATAAATTGTGATTTTATATATATAATAAATAACATTATATAAACAAATATTTATTAGCTTTTTATTATTTGCAAACTTTGTTCCAAAAATGAATCAGAATATCTAGGCTGTGTTCCGATATTCACCGCCAGTGAAAATCTATAATTTACGTCATACATACTATAGATTTTAAGTACTGGCAGTGAATATCGGAACACAGCCCTAGTACCACAACTCTACACAACACAGTGGATATGTAAAAGAATGATTCACACATACTAAATATAAATATTGTCATGTATCTGATCTGGCGTAATTTTCGTTGAGTTTTTTATATGATTTTTATAGAAGGTTGTTAGTCTTCTGTACGCTTTTTTTATATAATTTTATATAATCAGAAATACCAAGTTCATAAAATACATCCTTTTCTCAAATATCTTTTAAAAACTAATGAAAAAATCAACTTAAAATAACATGAGCTTTAACAAATATTTATATAAATTTCCATTTTTAAATTCTTTATCAATTTATAATATAGATCTTGGGGAAAATAAAATATAATATTCACAATGTTCATTTCAACTAGTGCTTTTCAACTTTCTTTAAACTGAAATATATCTTTAAACAAAAGAAATTAGTAATAAATCTATAGATAAATACATATTTAAGTCAATCTACGTGCATTTTAATTGATAGGATATAGTAGTATATTTTATTAATACTATTAATGTCAAAATAGTTAAAGTTTGTTTTGATTAAAGTAATTATAATTGTAAAAAACTACTTTCTATAATTAATAAATATTTCACAATGCACTTAAAAGCTGTTGATTCAAGTGATTGAAAATACTGAAAAAACATCCTTATATGCTTTATAGAGTAATAGTTTTATAGAAGAATTTTCTCTCACATTTTAATTAAAAATGGCATGCACAATACATGACAATTTATTTTTTGCTATATTTATGTACTACTTGGTAAGTAATTTCATAAATTGGCAATAAATATCCATCGCCGCATAATTGGCTAAAATGATAAATTAGCGAAGTTTCAATTACTGAATTATAGTACAGTCATTTTCTGTCATAATTTAAATCGGTAACTAAAAGTCGAGATGGTATATATAATTTATATAAGTATAGTATATCGTCAAACCTAAATAATAAATATGTTTTATATATATATACAGTCACAGACTTTTTATACAGAATGTCCAAAATCTAATAATGTGCTGTACAAATCCAATACTATTTATTTTTATCACCTGCATATATCAAAAGGATTGAAAAAAACGAATATTTAAAAAAAATTTAATTATGAAACTATATAATATATAAAAATCATTTATTCAATCATTCAATCTCTGCAGATGTTTATAATTAAGACCAACCAATTGATTATGTGATATTGGACAAAAATATCAGTTTATACATTAACTGGAAGTCAGCATTTTCTCTTGCATGATTATCATTAAATACAAAAGAATCAAGCATTGTACATATTTTGATACAAACCATGCTTATTATAAAATACAATAAACATTTCAACCAATTTTTGTAAACTGATGCAATATTATATTGATGGACAGATGCGACTATTACTTTACTTCTTAAGGGCACTCTGTATAGAATAGCCTTAAAATTACGAGATACGTATTTACAGTAAAAAAGTTTAATTGGTCATGTTTCTATCTAGTATAATAAGGTGAGTACCCCGTTGCGTAATGTTGTCCGTGTTGGCTACATAGTCGCGTACTTCAGTCATTCAGTTAGTATCTCGCAGGATATAATGCTAGTTTTATTTTTTCGTAATTGTGTCAGTCAAAAGTCGGACGAGATATGAATCTGCCTCGATAAATTGTCTCGATCATTTTGTTCTCACTTCTACTCTTAAGCACTAAAACGTTTATGCCTCATAAACTGAACGTCTCATACACTAAATACATGCAGGTATGAGTCTATAAGTGTTCCTATACAAATTGTTTCAAGGTTTTAATGCAAACATTGTCGCAATTTGACATAGGTTTGAAAAACAATAAAGAGATTTTAGATCATAACATACACAGCGCATTACAGTTTATCCAGAATGAGAAAGAAAAATCATTAAAATTATACAGATTTTACTGTTTTTAATTCAATGAAAAAAATAGATAATTTTGGGTTACTCTATTAGTATTTTTGATACAAATAAACTGAAATTTTATGGGCAAGTAAGTAAAACCATATTTTGTGTCAATGTATCGATTTTAGAGATACTGTAAATCCCATAGAACAAATAACACTTAATGAAATAAGATTCAGAATTTAAATATAGTCGATTAAAACTCAAATCCTTGCACTGGTAGTTGGGAAGAATCTGGTGCAGTGAATTGATACTCCTGCCCTTGTGAATCGATGGAGGGCACAAGTCTAGTATCCTCTTCCTCAGACCCAAAGAATCGTTCGATAATATCAAAGGCCTTCTGATAAATATCCATATTTTGGTGAGATTGCAAGAACTCTATCTTATCTAGGCCTAAAAAATATTAGGAAAAGATATTAATGAATTAGAAAACCAGTGTGTATTTATCATATAAAATCTTTCTCCATTAATATTTAGTACTTTACCATAACATTCTTCGATAAGAACTGCATAAGGATTAAGACCATTATGCATAGATGCATCTTGTTCTCCCAAACGCAAAATATTTTCTAATCCATTCAAAGCGACCTGAACAATTTTGGCATCCATAACGGTAAGTAGATCACACAATGGCGGAATACATCCCTGCATTGCGAGATATCGAATTTGATCGGCTGTTCCGCCGCTAGTAGCATTTGTAATTGCCCACGCTGCTTCTTTACGTGTTTTAAATTCAGCTTTACTCAAAATTTCAATTAAAACCGGAAAGATATTGGCATCAATCACTGCCTACAAAAATATTTATATGAAGATATATATATATCTTTTACAAAAACATTAATAATATATAAAGTTATATACTATTATGCTTTAAATGTGACATACTTGTATCTGCTGGGGATTACCAGCAGTGATATTAGAAACTGTCCAACAAGCTTCTTTACGAACACTTTCCCGTGGCGAACTTAAAAGATGCAATAGACATGGTAATGCTGAACAATTTAACACAACTTGAGTTTGCACATCATCTCCAGTGACTATATTTCCTACAGCACGAAGAGCTGCACTTATTACATTATTCTGTTCATGCCTGAAAACAATGTTTTTTTTTATTAGTGACACAATTGAATAAAACTAATTTTGCACATATAATGTCCAATTTACATAAATTCTGACATACATAAGAAGTTCTACGAGACGTCTGCAAACACCGGCATCGATAACGGCTTGTATCTTATCATTTGGACCGTCGCTCAAATAAGAAAGCGCCCAACAAGCATCAGCAAGTACATCATAATCAGTATGATTAAGAAGATGTGCTAACACCGGTAGACATGGTGCGACTTTTGCGAAAGCTGGTGCCGGATTTTTTCCTCGACACAAATTTGATAATGCCCATACCGCATTGCGGGTCATAGAAAGACGCGTCGCCTTCGATAGTACTCTAAAAAAAATTATGTGAAATTATGAAGCTACTGTTTAGGTTCTATCATTGTGTCTTTCTATTTTCTGCAATCCTTGCACTATAAAGTATAATAAATAGTAAGAGATAAAAAAATAATTTATATGAAAATCATAAAAATAAGGAAACGTACTGCAAAAGTGGAGTGAGGATACCGTTGGCTAATACATGATCTCTGCATTCGGGACTATCCCCTGCAATATTGCCCAATGCCCAAACAGCTTGTTCCTGTACATCTTCATATTCAGAACCAAGTAAAGAAATGAAAGTGGGAACAGCTCCTGCATCTATCACGATACGTGTTTGCTGAGATGTACCACTTGCTATATTTGTTAAAGCCCATGCTGCTTCAAACTAACAATCAATATTACCATTTATATATTCCTTTGATATATATTTTTATACTTATATTAATATTCTAACCTGTAGAGTGCAATTTGTATTATTTTTAAGAAATTCGACAAATTGTGGCACAATTCCTGTTTGTATCACTTCATCTATGGGAGGATTTGGCTCTCTTGATAATAATTTTCTAAATTTCTGCGTTGCAGCCAATTGATCTTGTATGTTAGGACTATATAATGCATCTACCATTTCAGTTGTTATGATACCAGGGGATTGCTAAAATACAAAATTTTTTTATATAAAAAAAATATACTGCAACATATAATGTTTTGTAAGTAAAATACAATATAATAATAATTATATTACCGATTGTGCTGTAGGAAGTGAATATTCATCTGTAGCTGTAACATTATCCTCATCTGCAGCAATGTTAGGAACATTGCGACGTTTTGATAACTGCTGCTCACGTTTTTGCTTTCTTAATTGAACTCCTTCTTCTTCTCTGCGTCTTCGCAATTCTTGTGAGTCTAATCCTACATTTTTATAACGATGTTTATGTGTAGGTCCAGTTGACATCTGTGAATAACAAACTCAATATAATATTTATAATATTAAAAATGTATTTTCTTTTTATTAAACTAGAATTTAATACAAAGAAAAATTGCAATATAATTCCTAGATTTAAAATAGTATAATCACAATTCTTCAATGTATATTATAAAATATATATATATATATATAATAATCTATTATATTTTTATTATCACGGATTTATTGTCACACGTAATAAATGTAGAACTCCTTTCTGTATAGCGTCAAAATACTATAGCATTAAAAATAAAATTTTCTAAAGATATCTGCTTATTATAAAACAGTTGAAACAAATTCTATGTGTATGTGTGTATCTATATTTATTCTTATATATAGATTTTATATATCAAATACATCAATAAATATAATATCAGTACTTTAAGTTACAATTACCTTTGCTTCAAGTTACAAATATGTACTTCAATGCTATTTTATCATATATATTTAAAAAATTATAATTAATCTATACATTGTTTTGAATCTGTGTAGTATTTTATATATATTTTTATTTTAATTTATACATAAAAATCTTTTGGAAAGAACTTTATATGTATCGTATAAGAAATTTGTATATATAGAGATGTATTGCATAAAGAATTCTTCTAAAAAGTTATATTTTTGAGATTATAATATTTTCATTACTGCCATCAATACTGAGAAAGATAATAGTGTTATATCAAAAATTTCTCTAAAAGTATTATCTGTAGATCTTTTTTTTTCAGAAGCATTTTAGAACATGATATTAGAGTTAATTTAAAAAAATAATATAATCTACTTTTCTCTCAATAAAGAAAGATGGAAAATATTACAGTATTTTCAATTCTTGATATACCAATACTTTCCACAATTCAACAAAAGTGTAATATTTTCTACAAAAGAATTTGTCTTTTACAGATCGCTAATTCATTGTTCTCTCATTGCTTTCACGAAAAAAGAGATTTATCTTTCCAAAATATTTTTTTATATATTGAACATAATATTTAGATATTATTTAAACGAAAAAGGAAGCAACATTTCGCGCGCTCTCTTTCTTTTTTCTTCATTTAAAAATATCTTTAATTATGCG